CGGAGGGGGGGTGGGTGGGAAGGGGGTGGCGGGAGGAGGGGGCGCGAAGGGGGATCTCGGACGCGTTTTTCCCGGTATCTCGCGTCCTCCGTGAGTGAGCCGTGAGCGAGCGAGTGAGCGAGCGGAGGGTGTGAAACGCGCATCGCGCTCCGCAGTTCGATGTTCGATCCGCGGCGCGCCGCGCCGCGCCGGCGAGAGATTATCACGCGCGCGCGTGTCCTCGCGGTGCACCTCGCTCCTTTTTTTTTCCTCTCTCTCCGCCTAGCGTCCGCGAGGCACACCGCTCGCGCTACGGGGACAGCGATTTAGGGGGGGGTGGAGGTAGGGGGGAAGAGCGATAAGAGCGCGCGCGACTCCGATTCAAAAACTTTTCTCGGAAGCGTGGAAGGCCCGGCCGCGCTCCACAATTATAAGGCGGCGTGTGGAGATAAGTATCGGGAGCGATCGGCACGTCGCGACGCAACGCGATACGTCCGTCGCCCGTCCGTCGTCATCGTCATCGTCGCCGTCCGTCCGTCCGTCCGTCCCGGTCCCAACCGGAAAGGGGTCGCTTCAGTGCGAGAGACATTTGGCGCGTTTCACGGGTACGACGCCATAATTCGCACGATCGACTGCCGCCTCCCTCGATCATTCGCCGCTCCGGAGCTCCGTTTGGCTCCGTTTCCTCGAATTCTTCTTTCTCGCTCGTTCCCGTACGATCGCGCACGCGCGCGCGCGCGTTGTGTCTCGTCGCATCGGTGCGTCGTGTGCGGCACGAGGATCGGATTTATCGCGCGGACACGCGGCGACGGTGATAGCGCGCGCGCCGCGCCGGAGGAGAGCGAGAGCTCGATAGAGCGCGCCCGTCAGCGCGACAAAGAGGTGAGCTCAAGGAAGAGAGAGAGAGAGAGAGAAAGGGCGAGAGTGGATCTCCGCGCGATTCTCGCAACGAGAGGAACACGGGAGGAAGCGCGAGATCGGCGGGGAGATTCTGACGTTTCCGCGTGTCGCGGCGATATCGGAAGTGGTAGAGTCCTCGCGGGATCGTGTCCGGGTCTCCGTGACGCAGAATTTAAATTTGGTATCGGTGCGGTACAGCAAGGTCCGCGGTGCGGTGCGGCGCACGGATCCACAGACCGACGGACGGACAGCGCGCGTGGCTGTATCGGCGACGGCGACGGCGGCGGCGGCGGCGGCGGCGGTTACGACGGACCGGCGGCGCGTCCGGCGCATGCACGACGCGAGACACGCCGAAACGAGAGGATCGCGCGGAAACGTCTCGCGCGCGTAGATCGTCGGATCGTCGAGCGCGCGCCGTTTCCAAAAGCATAAAATTTGCGTTTCGTTTTCCAAAGGTTACTCCGGCGTTTCCCCGGTGCAGCGATTGTTAGTCGTCGGACCGACGGTGGTGATTGTGTGACCAACGTGTTTTCGTCGCGGCGCATCCCTGGCTACGCGCGGCGGTATTGTTGAGGAGCGATTAGCGGCGGCCGGCCGAATCGCGGGGGAGAGACGGAGAGGGAGAGGTGGTGTGAGACGCAGAGTCGCGCCCCGTATATCGATACGAATGATGACGAAGATGCAGCCCCGGATACAGCAACACCACCCGGTGCAGGCGGCGCAGCGGATCACGCACGAGGACCACATACTGGAGGCGATCGATCAGCTCCGCCGGCGTAAAGCGCGCCCCGATGCCGATCGCATCTGCAACTATCTGCTCCGCAATTACGCGGTGGACGCGCGCGACACGATCGCCGATCTACATCGGCTGATCGAGGTCGAGAAGGTGATTCAGGTCGACTACAAGGGTAACACGAGTTACCGCAACGCGAAGAAATGGACGCGTTTGCAGCTCTTCAAGAATCGACCGGAGGGCTTCCTCAAGGAGAAACTCAACTCGGGCATGGTGTCGAGCGCGGTCGCCGAGCTCGTGGTCGAGGAGCCGGATTATCTTGACCAGGGCGTACCGGCCTGCCGTCTGATCGAGCAGCTCCTCGACGGCGTCTCGAGCCCGACGTCCCGTCGCGTGGTCGAGGAATTCCTCGGCCGGGAGGTCGCGAGCGGCAATCTCGCGCGCCTGTCCAACGGCAATTACTCGCTGGTGGCGACGTCCGACATGACGACGGACGCGACACCGTCGCGGCGCGGCGGCGACTCACAGCCGTCCTCCTCCGCGGCGGCCGCCTGCGCCCTGGAGAACGGCAACGCGACGCAACGGCGTGTCGGTAAGGAGGCTGCTAGCAATGGCAACGTTAGCAATGGCACCAACGGCTTAACGACCAAGGCAACCAAGACAGCAGCAGCAGCTGCGGCGGCGGCGGCGGCAACGTCCACGGCGGCGGAACTCTACGAGTTCAACGAGACGGATAACCTCACCGACACTACGTCCAACACGTCGCGATCATCCTCGCGGCAGGCCAACGATAGTCCGAAGCTGGATCAGCAACTTCGACAACATCAGGATTCTGTCAAAAAAGAGGAATGCTGCGAGGTCAACGCCGACAAGAAAAACTCCGAGCGCGGCGGCAGCACGTCGCCGTCAAACGTCGGGGTGGCATGCAACGGCGGCGGCGTCGACGGTAGCCAACGTGAACACGGCGATTCCCTGGAGGTAGCCGTCCCGACGTCGACGTCCGCGGAGAACGACATCGTCAAGGAGGAGCCAAAGAGCAACGATGCCCAGAAGACTTCGTCTAACCTTAAAAGGTCCGCCAAGGCCGAGCGCAAGCAACGTCTGTTCGCGAGGACGGACGATCGTATGGATATCGAGATTAAGTTCGAGGACTATCAGCACAGCGGCAAGGACGAGCGGGAGAAGCGCGAGGAAACCGGTCAACGGTCCAGCGAGGATCGCGAGGACGAGGATGCCGGCAGGAGCTCGTCGACGAACACGTCCCCCACTCCGTCCAACGTAAACACTGGCGGCTTCCGTAGCGCCAGGAGGAAGGTAAGACATTGTTGATATAATGTAGTGTTTTCTGGAATATTTAAAATATTTTAAAAGACATCTTTATTTAGTTTCAATTTAATATACAGAGCTTTCCATTTAGCGACACAAGTTGACAAAAGTATCATTCTGTCTTTTTACATTCATAATAACAAAGATAGACTAACGCTTGTCAATTTGTGTCGCTAAACGGAAAATACACAGGTCACAGAGTGTTCCCAGGTTGAACCGCATAATATGAATTTAGGAATTCAAATTAAATTTTTCTCTGAAAGTTTGTTTGCTTTTGTTTGCTTTGACATCTCAAATTTATATTTTAAGTTTGACTTGAAAACACTACCCGTATATTTTGTAACAAAGTACAAAATATAACGTTTCGTAAAGTATTTACTGGATAACCTTCAAATGGATACTATTGTACATATAATGATTTATAAAGTGATAATTTGAAGATTGTGAAGATAACGTTAACATCTTAAAGAAAAAGAATGAAAATTTTTAGTACATTTCCTTTGAAATTAAATTTTTTTACGAGATCTATCTGAAGCGTTTAGGTTAGGTTTGGTTAGAGATTAATGAATCATTTCATATGTTTGTTCTTATATTTCAGAGAGCCAGAAAGGTATTTGATCCTTCAGATAATAATTTGGTGAAGCGCAAGCGAGGCAGGCCGGGTAACCCTAAAAACGTGATGCAAGATTCTCAGGATTGTAAGCCAATGGTCAAGGATGGACCGTCCAGGCAGTGTAGCCTCTGTGCCAAGGAAAAGCAAGAGGCTCTCGTGGCTTGTAGGGACTGCACAGTGCGAGGTGATTCTTCAATATAATCGATATTAATTTCGATTAATTCGTTCTTAAATTTCTTACTGACATTTACACCTGTATATTGCGTATACTTGCAGCACATCCGAGTTGCATTTACAGTCCGGAGGAATTGGTACAAAAAGCCAATAGCAATTGGCAATGCGAACGCTGTAAAACCTGTACAGTATGCTGCGAGACTTCCGATGCTGTAAGTTCATCACATTCCATTCCCATTTCGCGTTTCAAGTTTCAAGCAAATTTATTCTCGTCCTCGTTAATTAATTTTCATTTCGCTCGTTTTCTCAGGGTCCGCTAGTGACTTGTTACGGCTGCGACGATGCCTATCACTATTTCTGTCACACTTCCCGCGTCGCGATAAAGTCGAACTCGAAGTGGTACTGCAACGAGTGCACGCAGAAGCAGCAGTGCAAGACGAGCGACGGACAGAACGCTCATTCGGTCAATGGAACAAGCAGGCCGGACAGCCCGTCGAGCACGACTATCTTACCGCCGGTTCTGAGCCCACAGGTCTCTCCTACGAGGGGCTCTTCCGATTTAGTGGAAGACGACGGTCCCAAGGGGCCCATCGACATGAATATTCCTGACGCGAGGAATTGGACTTCCGATCAAGTGTACCAGTACTTTGCTAGACTGTTTCCAAAAGATGCCGAAGTCTTCCGCCAGCAGGTAAGAATTTAATTGATCTACTTAGACGAACAAAATATGTTCTTTGCACAATTGTTTTGTCACACTACGTTCGTTCGTATTTTTGCGTTCCAGGAAATAGACGGCCACGCGCTGCTAATGATGAGCCGAAAGGATGTTCTGTGCGGGCTTAATTTGCTGTTGGGCCCTGCCTTAAAGATATACCGACACGTTTTGAAGCTTCAATTTCGTAGGGATGATCCTGAGTTGTATTGGCAATAATATACATACGAGTTTTGCGTGAAATTGATCTCAATTGTGTCATTTTGACCTGAAAGATTTAATTTATACTAGGTATATACACAAATTGAATCTTTCACGATTGGGACACCGTTTTGTAGTTTTGTGAACGGTCTCCACGTTGTACATACGAAGTATCGCTGAAAATCTTTTATGAACAATGAAGATATATATAGATATCGTACAGATATGTGCTCCTTAAATAATGAGACTATTGAATGTTCGAAGCGGATCTGATCTACCGTTAAATCCCGCGTTGCGGCGGGATATGTCGAAACATTGTCTGAAAAAAAGCGCGGAGACGCTCTCAAACTCTATTGGCAATAATGTAGATGATATCTCTTTCATAAATTCAGTCTTCGCGACATTGTGCATGTGATTTGTACAAATCCAGCCTTCTTTTAGGTTAAGAACATAAAACTCGGCTTCAAAGATAACGCTCTGCATTGTACAGATGAGACATATATAAGATGTATTACTAAGATCTCCGCGAACAATTCGTCGCAAGCCAAATCGGTTACCGATCCGTAAATGTATGTGCATACGCGATTACATAAAACTTGATGTACATACATTCCGCCTTTTTCATACGCGGTATTTTATTAAAAAAAAAAAAAAAAAAAAAGGAGCAGATATTTTCTATCTCCAAACTGTTACTTGTTAACGTTATATTTAAGCCTGTATGGAGAATTCTACATGATGTTCTAACAAAAAAAAGCGGATGTGCGAAACAGAAAAAGAGAAATCATCGACTGATTATACGCGATTTTGCGTCACGTAAACTTATACTTTATTTCTGCAAGTCTTACATGCATAAGTACATTTATTTGTAGAATGTAGTTATGCATAAGATCACTAGTTAAGGAACGCGATACTTTGGTTTACATGTACTTTTCTATTATGCAATAAATATTTTGATATTTATAAGTACGTTGTAATGTATATATATGTAATCCTTCAAAGATTAATACCTTAATCACAGATTTCTGAAATGCGCACTGACGTGCGGGAATGTCTTGTTACTTTCGACAATTTGTTTGCATTTATAAGAATCGCGCAAAATCTTTTTTTTTTTTTACTCTATATTATGCTCAACAATGAGATTTAATTTAAAAGTATAAATACAAACAGGAACTTGTACATTTATGCATATATAAATGTATTCCTAAATTATATGTAAATTTGTTTAGTTTAAAACTTTCAAGACTGCTTGTCGCGTCGCTACCAAAATCAATCGTTGCATAAAGATTTTTTATGATATGTTCTTACGTAAAATATGTATTGATTTTCTATAAAAAAGAAGATACAAATTATGAAAGTGCATTCAGAAAGGGCCGTAAAAGGCTTTGTACTTTTTAATATTAAATATAAAAATTTGTATCCTCGATATGAATACACCTCGAAAACTAATAGATCTTTGATAATACCACATATCGATATGAAAAAAGCTTCAAAAGCTTTCTTCAAAAGCTGGATATTCTATAGAGCACGGTTTGATTTGGGAATTTTATATTGCTGAAACTTTGTCTTGTGTTATTATTTCATATTAGATATCATTAATTATTTTATTTAAAAAAGGAATCATTTAGTTTCTCTATAGCGCATTTACTGTAAACACAATTCAAATTTTCAAAGTGCAATTGAAAATAAATAGATATTTACAATAATTAATCTTTGTATCATTGTATGAAACGAAATGCACCTGTAATTGAATGTCCACGCTGAAAAGTAAGGGGTGCAATACCATTGCACCACAATTTATTTACTTAATATAACTTGGACTTTAAGAAAGAAAAGTTTTTAATTTTCCTCATATTCATCATATTGGAATGTATATCTTTTCATTCGAAAATCTGTTATCGGAATAATATATATATATGTATGTATGGATATATCGAAAATCTGCAATAACCTGGATAATTTTTCTCGCGCTAAATTCTCAATACTGATCTCGAGCTGACTGTACTTTTGTGTTGCTAGATTATTTATTTTAATAATGGATCTAAACGGAAAGAGAGCAATTAAGAAACACAAGAAAGCATTTACATTAAAATCGAAAAGCAGAACATTGCTTTCTGATTTTCTGCATTTTTAATTTACATAGCACTTATTAATGATATTTTTTTCTTTTTTTTTTAATCTCTGTTCGAGCATTTTTGCAAAATTATGGACGTAGATCAACATATTAATTGACAGGTATCTGCAACTTGTTATTGGTTCTAACAAATTTTCTGATTTTCCACTGCTAATGTGAGTGCTTCTTAAAACATGTATGTAAACTATATAAAATATATTAACAATTTTTAGAAGTTTTTGTATGGGCTAACGGACTAATGAATCCCCAATTTTACTACGAACGAGCACTTTACTGAAGCCACATTTGACGCACATGCGCGAGAAAACCGGCCCATTTAATTTTAATAACACTGGGGGTGTGTTCGGGGAGCACGCTATCGACGTTATTCAGCGCTATTGTGTCATTTTATCTTTGTTTTTCATCTAATAAGTAATTAGATAGAATAGCGATAACGTTTATAATGGATTATGGAATGATGTGCAGTCTACAATAAGAACGCAGCTGGACGCCGATTGGCTTGTCACCTTGGTTGTTGCAACATACTATACGATTTTCGAAATTTTGAACTGCGATATTACAATTCTCGGACTTGCCACTTTAATTAGTTATGAGCGATGTAACAGTTAGAGAATTACATTCTCGTCTTGTTATTGCCCGAAAAAGACGCTTTGTAAACGCGAAGAGTGATCGCGACTGTCTTGCAAATAAAATATCAAGTGCATTATTATGCCGTTTATACAATCAAATAGAGAGATCTCGGAAAGTAGTAGTCTCCTGTAGGAGTTTGCAAGCTTATTCGGACTCTGGATCATTTACATTTGATTATTTTCTCGCCTGGATCGAAAGTTGGACGCTTAGTCATCGTCAGTTACGTGTTTATAATCTGCAAAATTAACTGCATCATTGATGAGTTGTACGCCTTTGATGAATATTGTATAGCATGAGCGCGTCAGAAATCCGTCAAGCGAATTTCGTACGACCGTAGTATCGCACGATATGTGCATTACACTTTTCGCGTTTAACGATCCGCGTTGCGTTATGGAAAATTCTTAAAATTTTAGATAGTGCCTCCTTACTGATTATATGTTCTTTTAATTTGTCTACTGTCAATCAACTCTTGATTTTCGCGAAACTCTGATTCTTAGAATCGCAATTCTCGGAAATAAAAATTGATGAAATTTTAGACAGTGCAATCTTCTTGCCAATTATTTTCTCTAACTTGTCGATTTCCAAAAATGATATTTGCGATTCAAAAACGATTCGAAAAACTCCGAAAACTTTCGAATTCGCGCGGAATCTCAATTCCTAAAAATCTTTGAATTCTTAGAAGTTAAAAAAATTCTTGGAATTTTGTATAATGCAATCGCTTTGTTTATTATATTCTTTTGATACTTTATCGAATCTCCGTTGAAATCTCCCGAAATGCGAAATTATGATTTTTAAAATTTTCGTTAATTGTTTATTTAAGGTAATGAGAATATTTTAGACTGGAGGATTATTTTGCAGTACAAATATTGCGCATTAATGCACATTTTTATTGTATATTTTTGAAAAATACAAAATTTCAAAATGCAATTTTTCTCAAATTTATAAAAGAGTAAACTCACTTGGAAATAGGAAATAGCGTCAAAATGACGCTAAAATAATTCATAATTGATTGAAAAGTGATTTTTAATAATTATTTTGATGTCATGAAGACTTGTTGTTCTGCTTGGGTATCTTCAAAATTTCTTTCTAAATGCATTACAAATTAAAAAGTCGATATCTCATATCGACATATGTGTATCGCGATACATCGACCGTCGCTGCATTAAGCTCCTTGCACAATGCGAGGGAATAGCGATAGAAATAACACAGGCAATAAGCATAGCGATAAGAACAAAGGAATCCAACTCGTCGGAATTTTATCACTATTGTCTATTTTTGTATTCCAGTCTGCATTAGCTTACATGCATTCCCGAAAGCTGGTTTCTTATCGCTATGCTTGCCAGTGTTATTTTTATCGCTATCGCTATTCCCCCGCATTGTGCAAGGGGCTTTAAGTATAATTTTGTCAGACGGTGACGCCCTCGAGAGTGTCGCATACTCGTTCTTTTTCTCCTTTATCGGCCACGCGGTTGTGTCAACGTTGCAAAGTTGCAAGGCATATAAGTCGCTCGTCACCGGTGCGGTGAAGACCATTCCAGTCGGTGTCGTTCGTAGCAGTATTCACATTCGGCTTGACCGCATTTCGCCAGTGATTTTCGTTAATTCTTCTGATTTCATCACTCGAATCGTAAGTTCACTGCCAAGAAAATATCCCCTTGATTTTAGCTGCACTTTTTTTACAACGAAAATTCCGAGTGCAAGAAGTGTAGCTGCCAACGCAGATCTCGATGAAGTGTTCTCGCAACTTAAACTTTCCACGAACGAAAGTCGCCAAGTGGACGAACGATCCAATTTCTAAAAGAACTAAAACTTTGCTTTTTTTTCTAACATTTAACGTACAATAAGATAAGAATTGTGAATAATAAGATAAGATTTCATATCTCCTGATTCGACGCGCGCAATTTTAATTTCCTGGCTATTGAAAGTTTATTCGCGTTATCTCAATTTTTTGTGTCACATAAGTGCACTATCTCATATAAGTTGCAAGTTGTTATTGTACGTGCCATATGTTGTTCAGTCCTTCGTTCGCGAAAAAGTAATCGTAAGAAATAAATTGTTACAATTATTATATTAATTAAATTATATATATTATTATGTAATTAATAGAATTATTAGTAATAAATATATTACTAAAATTATTAAACATAATATTTCTGTTATTATAGCAAATTAAGAATAAATTATATTTTTAATTAATGTTCTGATATTACAAAAATTTTTACTGGACAGATTATTCAGTTATAATGGCTTCAAAGAAAGGTTTCGCGACAAGGGCTATCCATGCCGGGCAAGATCCTGAGCAATGGAATCATGGCTCAGTAGTACCTCCTCTCGTGATGTCGACAACTTTTCAACAAGATGGTCCAGCGCAGCATAGAGTAAGATATTATTAGAGTACTAATTGTCTGACTCATCAAATTTATCCATATATATATATGTATATACGCAGCTCCTGCAATTGCTACCTCTTATTCAATCAATGTCAATTGTAGCAGAAATTGCATTAAATTTCTGTATATTTCTATCTTCTATGAAAGAAGTTAAAATTATAAGTTAATAAGAATAAAAACTCGTATATTCTTTTTTATAAATTGATTTATATAATTTTCTTGAAAAGTTGAATAAAAAAAAGGAAACGAAATAACTTGAAAATAAATGAAAGCTGAATAAATGACGAATTTAATAGGCAAATGCAAGTCAAATGACTATTGGGACAAGTATATTTTTTAAACATAAGCACTTAGTATAAAAGAAATTGGTCTCTTTCCATATCTTTATCAAATTGAGGTGCACGATATAAATACAGTTCAAAAGTCAAATAACAATTCGCGACTCGGTGGTTGCATTTGCTTATCATATCTTCACTTACACAGCATTCTTCGCAAAGAACGCTTAATCATTCTTTTGGATATAATTCAAAAATACCTTTATATACTTTTTGTTTAAAAATATTTTTGAATTCGAGTGAATTTGAACTGGAAAAAGAAGATTTTGTCATAATGACATTTTAATTTTACTTGTTTCACAAGGGTTACGAATATGGCCGAAGCGGCAATCCTACGCGCAATGTACTCGAGACTTGCCTGGCTGCTTTAGACGATGGCACACACGGCCTTTGTTTTTCATCAGGTCTAGGCGCTACGACTGCCATCGCAGCTTTACTGGAGACAGGTGATCACCTCATTGCAGGAGATGATCTCTACGGTGGCACCAATCGTTTTATCCAAAAGTGCTTGAGCAAACAAGGCGTGAAATATACGTTCGTTGACATGACTGATGTACAGAACGTTATAGAGGCTATTAAACCAAATACAAAGGTTAATATAGAATAAAATTATGAAATAAAAATATTATTATTTAGAATTACTTTGTTTTAGAATTTAATGATATATTTTGTGTTTTAAACATCATTATATATTTTTAATATCATATATTAGTTTATTTTATGCATTGTAATTTTTTGTTTTGTCGTAGATGATATGGCTAGAAACGCCGACAAATCCGATGATGAAGCTGGTAGACATCAAAGCCGTCGCTGACAGCTTGAACTCTCGTCCAGACATTTTATTAGTAGTTGACAATACATTTCTCACGTCCTATTTCCAAGTGAGTTTACTCTTTTATAAATTAGAGAAAAATTGCATTCAATTGTATTCAATATGTGTCCAACGTGAACGAAACTAAGATACTATAAGTATATTATATATTTGTAAAACAGAAACCTCTTGAGCTTGGAGCCGACATTGTCGTGTACTCGTTAACAAAGTATATGAACGGGCATTCGGATGTGATAATGGGTGCCGCGATTCTACGCCGGGATGATCTCGCGAAGAGATTGCGGTTCATACAAAATTCCATGGGCATTGTGCCATCGCCATTTGACTGTGCCATGGTGAATCGTAGCTTGAAGACACTCGAATTGAGAATGCAGAAACACATGACGAACTGCTTGTCCGTGGCTAAGTTTCTCGAATCTCATCCTTGCGTCGAGCAAGTGTTTCATCCATGTACGTGTAATCTTTATTATTCCCCGTGTCTTGTGACGCGTGTTCTTAAAATAGAAGCATACTTTATCTATTGCATTATTCCGACGATAAGACATTTAAAGATGAAAAAAAGCGTATTATTACGTTGCAGATCTCCCGTCGCATCGACAACACAAACTCGCGCTTAAGCAGACCACAGGGCACAGCGGAATGGTCTCTTTTTATCTGAAAGGGGATTCTAAGCGTTTTTTGAAAGCATTGAAAGTTTTCACGTTAGCCGAGTCCTTAGGTGGTTACGAGTCGCTAGCCGAATTGCCGTAAGTATAATTTGAAATATTTTAAAATGTATAAATGTAAAAAAAAATGTATTTAAAATGTATATTTTTAACGTATTTTTTAAATTTAGATCCGTAATGACACACGCGTCCGTGCCGGAAGAGACGAGAGCAGAATTAGGTATAACCGATCAATTGATACGACTGTCGGTTGGCCTTGAAACGGAGCAGGATCTCATAGCTGATTTGAAACAAGCATTGGATGCTTGCCAATGAATTAACAAACATATAATGTGATTAGACAGCCGCGAAAATAACGCAATAGCAAGTATTCTGATTTGTACTATATAATTTGTCTGATAAGTAATATCAGACTTCCACTTTGTATTTTAATAATTCACAGACACTATCTGCGATATCAGATATATAAAGAAATTTTATTCTTATATAAAACTCTTTTATACATTCCACAATTCTCACATTTACATTAGGAACACTTGTATAATACAGCAATCAGATACTTTTTGACACATGTGATCGTCTCGATTTCTTTTATAGTTTACCATATCTGTCAGGCATTTGTAAATTCGTAAGAACGTACAAATAAATGTAGTTTCAAGATCAGAAATATAAATTATATAAATTATACGTCATACTATAAATTGTACTTTATAGTGATATTTTAATTACTAACGTTATATATTACAAATTGCGAACGAAGAAAAAAAAACTTTATACTTCATAGTGATATTTTAATTACTAACGTTATATATTACAGATTGCGAACGAAGAAAAAAAAACTAATTGCTCTTAATGGATCACAAAAATTTCCTGACAATCATTAAGCTTGAAAAAGGTATTTTCCATCGATTGCCCCTCGTCTGAATCTTAAAAATATTTACTGACTTACGTCTCCATCGAACAGAACACTGTACAAGAAACTGGGTATCATTTTGTACTACCAATGCAATAACGTTTGGTGCAGCGGACACATGTTTCTCCTCCCGTAACACACCCGTGAAATCTTTTGCAGAGACTGGAAAATTGTCCTATTGCAAATTGATCTTCGACGAATATCGTAACTTCGTTCTGTTTATCCTGTCGTATTCCTGCGCCCGATTGTACAGCAGCACCCCCACTATGACGCAGGAGGTGCCGAGCGCCGACAGTCCCGTCACGGGATTGTTAAACAATAGAACGGAGAGCCATATCAGGAAGGCTCTCTTTGCGGTATTGGCAACACTACAATATCAATATCATTGCGCTTTAGAATCGAGCGGAGAACGGCGATTGACTCGCACGAGAGAGAGAGAGAGACGATTACATACCTGTGTGTCACGGGACTGATATAGTCCATAAGTACGTAAGCGGTAATACTTTGAAAATGGAAGAATACTCCGTTAAGAAGGAATGCCGCGAATAACTTAAAACTCAGGGAATGCTCCAGGGTAGGTAGATCGACCAACAGTATCGACACCGGTATTTGTACGACAATTGACGCTAGGCTGGTATAAAATTGTAATTCCGCTGGTCTGCAAAAAAAAGAAACAGGTCTCTTTTTCTCTCCCTTTTACAATTTATACGATCTCGCGCACTCGTGCGACATTAACTTACGTATATTTAAAATTGTCACCGCTGATCAACATCTTCGAGTAGACGTTCTGCAAACATTCCGTTACGTTTGTGGCCATAGCGGCGATGAACCCTCTAAGATCGAAACTGATTTCATTGATGGAACACAGTGCCAATCCACCCATTACAGGTATCAACGATAGATTTACATATAATCCTGTATGTTCCCCTAAAAGCACGATCAATTCCAGCCGCTCAATTAATTAGCACAAAAAGGCTGAATTTTTTTTTATCGTAGATTATATTTAGACACCAGTAAAAATGCTCACCTAATAAATACCTGCTGATGAGGACGGTGAAAAGAGGTGCGCTACTTTTTATGGTTTCGGTGAAACTTACAGCTACATAATTCAATGATACTAGACCTAAGACCACCGTGGCGAACCTCGTGCAGCCTACCAGTGTCATGTGCTTGTAAAATCCCGGTGGTCTCATCAATCTTGGACTGGCTTTGTACATACCGCAGGGAAAGTACATCTGTATCAGTCCGCATATCGCGGTCATCAACATTTGGCAAGCACCTGTGATTCGGAACAGGAGTGTAAAAAATATATATACAATGTAAAAAGAAAGCCACGAAAAACAAAGTATTAAACGACTCAAACAGCTGATATCTCAGATACATATGATGCTAATGTTTTGATATTAATCATATCGATAGGAGGATGCTATGTCAATTATAACGACCAATTATGAGTTTTATGCCCTTAAATGTTTTGCAGAGATAATTCAACAATTTAACGCCCTTGAGGGGCTTCAAAAACGGTCGCTTGCTTACCCAGGATCGTGGGGTCGCCCTCCATGTAGGACAGTATGTATTTGTTTAGAAACAGCGTGCACCCGCTGAAGACGTACCACAGGGTGAGAAAGAGGAGGGCACGGGGATTGAACAGGCCGCCCTTCGTGTCGCTCGTCAGGACGATCACATCCTCCCGCTTCCTGCTGGCGTGCGCCTCCGCGTGCTGCTTCGGCTGGCCGTCGAGGAACGCGGGCGGCTCGGTCTCGCCATCGCCACGGGTGGCCTGCGGATAATTGATGCGCACGGAGTAGTTCTCCATCGCTCGTCCGCGCGCTCGCCCTTCTTCCTCTCTCCCCGGTGTCCACGCGGTAAACGCGAGACTCGCGGCGGGTCGCGTGAGCGCGAGAAATCACATTTTTCACGCTGCCTGGAGAAACTTTTTCCGCCCTTGGCGCTCTCGCGCGGAGAGGTTAGGATTAGGTTAGGTTAGGTTGACAGTCACGCCGATCAAAATCGGAGCGCGCCGCGGGTCGGCGATCGGCCGCCGAACCGGTCGCGCACGACCGGCGCTCGCCGTTGCGCCCGTTCTCGCATGACAGCCGACTCTAATATCTAATTCCTTATTGTTTTCTTCTTTTTTTCACGGATGTCCACCCCTCGCATGCATCGGCCAGTATTACTTCCCTGCGAATCCTGCGATATCTACATTATCTACTTACACTTTACACTATGCCCACCCACATATACATGTAAGTGATTACCGGCTTGTTCTACACCATCCGCACTTCTTATACTGCTGTAACGCTCGGTATAAAACTTTTACGTTGGATTTATTTTTTCTATTTATTTTCTATACAAGCATCGTTCAACCATATCCTGACGATATAGTAATATATATATTATTTCACATGCATATAATTATCATTTTTCATAATAATTATTACATAATTATTTTCTATAATTACATAATTATATTAGCAGAGTAATTATTTGCAATAATATACATATTTAGTAATATATTATTCTCTTGGTGATATTATCCTCTTATTATTGTCATTTATACATACTTAATTATGATAATAAGAATTCTGCTATGGCTTACATAATGCGATAATCATGCAAGGCTTATTAAAAAGAAGTGTTGATAACTAAGTCACATCTGTGCTAATAATGACAACGCAAATATTTGTTAATGTGCAATCGTTTTTATTAATTCTTTGACTTACAATTATTAATGAGCCTCTCAATTTTATCTCTTTATTTAGCAACTCGTCTTATAAATCGCGTTCGTGCGGTTAAAAATATCTCACGGAAAAAGTGTTCTCCGTGTAAAACTCATCATTATAATATTAACACTATTAACAGTCAGGATATCACAATTCCCCAAACCTGCGTAATTTGTCAGTTGTATTTTTAAAAGTCTCTTTATTCATCAAAGAATTACGTAATTTCTCAACGAAATCATTGTACGCCAAAATAGCGACGTTTCTTCCAGCTAGCGCGCTCATTTCCATCGAACTTGCGGCCCACTCAATTACATTGACGTAATACAGCGCGTCGTGCAGCTTGAAGTTATCGAGATTCGTGTTTGCCGAGTAATGGGGATATGCTTTCCAAGCGATTTCCTTCTTCTCGATGATCTTGACAGAGAAAAGGAAGAATTAGTACTGATTATTATACGTCCCCCTTGCGCGAAATATAATTCTTAGCAAATTTCTTACATTAGAGAACATATCGCGTAGCAGACGTGTCTCCACGGGTTTTCGGCTGAAGACCTTCCAGACTTGCGGGTCCTTCCTAAACGTGCCGTCAACAGGATCCACTTTCCCGACCGAGCTGATTATCGTTTTGTTGGGATTGCAACTTAGAATACTGTCCAAAGCCTCTCGCAGGCCAAAGTACTTTGACTTGAGATTCGCCTTGACAAACGTCGCGTACGTCGTCTGATATTCCCCTGGGAACACCAGGTCGCCCGGGAACCCGACAAATTCCACTTGAAATTCTTGATCGCCGGTAAGCGGCGCGGCGATGATTACGATGTCGTAAGTGGACGTCATTGGATCCGTGCTATCTGAAACGCACAATTCGCGCGTTATTTTTCCCTATAGTATAGGATTTTTTTTACGCATCTTTATTTATACTATCGCACCTTTGTTCACGTAGGTCACTTCGTATTGACTCGAATTGCGGGCGTCAGATGCCAGATTGCGAATCTTCGTAACCCGGCTCGGTACTACATTTACATTCTTATTTCTGTAAATGAGATGCTCCGGTACCTAAAATTTCAGCGTATATTTCACACATATCCTGTAAGTAATTACCCAGTGAACGGAAATGGATTAAAATATATATATTTTTTTAATTAAAATGGATTGAAATGGATTGGTCTTTATAGAAGTGCATTAATTTCCACGAAGGCCAATCCATTTCAATTCATTTTAATTCATGATTTGAAATTCATTTCCGTTTAGTGGGTAAGAGACGGATAACAAAAGCTAATATATTACCCCCTTGTTTCCACCTTTAACGGACCATAAGCCACCATTTGCCCCAGCCAGAGATACGGAAGCGACGAAACTCTGGATATCGACATCCTGACCGTAATTCACCACGGTAGTGACCTGCACCAGTTCATTGATCAGTCTCTTCGTGAAACCGTTTTGCAACATATGTTCTCTCATGGGCGTGTGCAACAACTTGGGGAAATCCTTATTCATTGCCGACAGCAGCGCGGTGACGTTGGCAAAGGACTGTCCTGCATCCTGCAGGTCGTATATCTTCACGAAATCGCTTAACATGCCGTTTATCTGACTGCTCAAAAAAAACATTATATAATGTTACTTTTTCTCTTCTCTCACATAATACTTTATGACATAGGGCCGCTTCTTCTACGGATAAATTACTTGATAATGTATCCATTAGATAATCTCTAAGTACCTCCTGAGATTGTACAGTTGAAAGCCGTATCTGTAAAATAATTTCGCCAACGACAATGCTGTCCATTTACTTGATTTGTATACAAACTCATCTCCATTCCATATGCCATATGTCTCATCACTGGGAGGACTCTCTTCCAAACCTACAAAGACCAAAAGTTGCGATCAATAACGTTTCTTACACACGCGATTAGTACACAAATGAGCTGAGAAAACGAAAGGTTGCCGCGTCCATACCCAAGAGTTCAACGAATCTTCGCATATACAGGTTCTTGGTGTGAATAATTGAGCCGCCAGCCTCGACTTCGTCGCCGTCGACTTTGACGGTCGCCAATCGTCCGCCGATAGTCTTCGCCTCGTACAGATCGATCTCCAAACTTCCGTTTAACAGCTCGGTGAGGAAATGCGAAGTGGACGCGCCGCCGATGCCACCCCCTATGATGGCTAAAGGAGAAAAGGGGAGTCAAGGAGGTCGAACTCACAAATATCTCTTGTCGATTATTAAGCGGCGCATTGAAACGATTAATTAAAATTCTCTTACCGACACGTGGGGCGTGTACTTCAAAGGAAATCCCCTGTTGGAGCACCAATACTCCAAGTACCAGTAACGCTATAGGCCTCATGACTTGTACACGTATTGACGTATGTCGCTCGATTAAGTCGCAATAGGCATATTTTTTCGCATATTTATCTTGGCGTAAAAAATGTTACGTAAAACATGTTACGGTTATCGATAAAAAAAAAATTATATATATTATCGATGTTTACATTTTGCTCCTGCGAATGCGCGTGTGGATAGTGCGTGTAGCTTGTGTCGCATGTATACGTATACACGCGATCACGTGACGCGCAGGGAGCTACCCCGGCTACCCCCTGCCCACCCGCGAAACGCGGTACTGGCGGTACTGCTCCCAGGCTCCGTATATATATGTATATAAGCGAGTGAATTCAGTATGGCTGTGCATGGCCCAGATAAACATCTGGGAGTAGTCTCAGGGTGTCGTCAACAGGACGTGGCTGCGCGCCGCGAATTCGCAACGCGAATCATCGTCCATCCTCCTCGCACGATGACTGGGCGATCGGCAGGCTGAAGGCTCCCCGACGAAGGCGCGCTCCGATCCTCCGACGAATCGCCAGCGGTCGCGCGTCGTCCCGCGCGTGATGCCACGGCCCGAGATCACCTGCCCGCGCGAAAGGCCACGATAACGCGCGGGCCCGCGCCTGTGGGGAGGGAGATGCGTCGCGATCGCACGACGTCGTAGCTCGTTTAAGAACGCCCGAGGCTAGGAAGCACGAGCTCGCAAGGCGACTCCCCCCCGTGAAGCCGTCCGTTCGCGCTTCAGCGGCCGGAGGGATAAATGCACAGCAAGAGAGTAGAGATTGCGAGCCGAGCGTTGAGCCTTACGGTAAATCATCATCCCCCTTGTGCACGAACATGTTCTCTCTTCTCCATTACTACTTTTATTACAATTTTTATTCATGTTACACGCATTACAATGCATCTCCTCCGAGCGCATACACACACACGTTGCAACACTTTGTACAGTTTATAAGATTACGGATCTCGGTGGTTTTCACCCTTCGGATAAACGGTGGGAATTTATCCATTAAATGAATCATCACTAAAGTTTATCCATAGGTAGGAAACAACCGGCCGTGCGCAAGAATTGAGTTTACACATAGCAAATAGAGGGACAAAGGTACACCGGACGTTCGCACGCTCGTACGATCCTCACTCCGTCCATCTGTGGGAGCAGTGCTGATTCGTACACACATAATACAGTCTCATTTCCTCCTCAGCCCGTCTGGTTTGCGCCTGGAAAAATACGGCTTCTCTGTGATTGCACTTTGGGCATGGATGTTCCTCGGTTCTCGGTAGCGTAGGATCCGATATCACGTCGGCGACGATGTGCGTTAGTTCGCTGAAAGAAAAGAGAGAGCGGTGAGCGACGCACGTTAATTCGAGCCGCGATTAGCGCGCGCTAATCGAGATGCTCCGACTTGATCTTTAACAGACTCTCTCACTCTTTCTCGCTCTGTCTCGAGCTTCGCGCGACGAGCTTAGGGCTTAGAAAAGCCAGTATCATTTTGTAGAACAGCGATACTCGTGCACAAAATGATACGCCACCCCCTCTCCCCTCCCCGGCCCCGCACACGTTAATTATACAAACTCTAGTGGGAATTCAATCGTTCTAACGATGTTTTTACTTATAGATGTTGATTAACCCTCCGATTCAACTTATTTCTCAACTCACTCTATCTCGTGCATGATCTTGTTCACGTAGATGCAATTGCTGTCCGCCAGTTGCTTAAAATCGCAATTTCTGCACTGAAACAGAGAGGCAGTGATTACCTCATTATATTTTCCTCCTCACTTAATGTGACTCGCGCTGTCGGCGCGATTCGAAGCTCCTCGTCTCTTTCTACTTTCTATCCCCTCTACTCCTTACGATACAGCAAAAAAAAAAACTCATCGGGGAAAAACAGTCGCGTATACTCACCGCGTACATGAGCACCTTGTTCTCCTTATCCTCCTTCGGGTACAACATGTTATTGCACTCCTGGCAGAATCTGATGCCCACGAATCCCGGACCGTCGTCGTGCGTGTCGTAACCCGTTATCTTCGACATGACTGCGCGCCAAATTGATCTCTATCCCGATCGGAATATCCGCGAAATATATCCGAAATCGCCGGTAATTCGAACGGCCGTCAGTTGACAGACGGCGAAAACGGCAACACAACAACAACAACAACGGAGGAATGAACAGCGCGTCAAGCGCGTGGCGCCGGCGAGAGCGATCGGCGTGCCATCTGTCGGCACGCTGGGGAAATTAAGAGCCGCTTCACACATCGCGGTTATCTATTTTATCCGCAGATGCGCCGTAAAGAGAGCTGCGTTCGGAAACATCACTCGAGTGCCCCTGTAATATATATATTATTATTTTATCCTTCTTATTTCATCGAATCGCGACTGCGGTCCATTTGACACTGCAAATTCGAAGCGTTTGATTGACCAATCGAAACGAAGAATTTTATGAATTTATCAATAAAAAAATGCCTCAAAGCCGTTTGTAGTCTCAAATGGATATCCATGATGAACGACATTAAAATGATACTCGGATGACATTTTCGAACGCAGGCTAACGAAATAGAATTTAAGAACTGCAGGGTGGACGGAAAAATTTAAAAGGTTAAAATAAAAATTTTAAATAAAATTTGGAAACTTCATTCAATTAATTAATTTTAAATCATACGAAGAGAATTTCCTATTTCTTTGCGTCTATCCCGTAAGTCGAAATTATGACTTGAAAATCGAAATTTCAAACTCCGCAAAATTGGAATTAATTGTTAGTTTATAGAGTTTTCAGAAACAAAATTCTCGAGATGTACAGAAAAACTTGAAATTGAGTTAATCTGTATGATTTCGAATTTCTTTAGTATTCTAATCGGTAAGAGGAAATTAAAGTTCTTTTTTTATTTAATAATCAACGATATTAATTGATGCGATTCATCCTTTTATATATTCTTCTTGATTGTGTAGCTAATTAAAGTTTATAAATCTAACAAAATCCAAATATACCTGTCCCTACAAGATCTAATAATTGAGCAAAATTCGAGAATTAGAGCTTAGAATTGAACAGTGGCTGTTGGTATATTTAATTATAATATATATGCTTGACCAATCGGATTCGAGCATGCGCAATAATTGAACTTATCATATTCTCCTTGACAATGGGATATCTACCGAGAGGTGCATTTGAAGATAAGAGATCGGACAAAAGGTTAGTTCCAACTTAATTTCTTGCACTTTTTCACACTCTTCCCTTCCCTCAAACTATAAATGTTTAAAGTCATCAGTATATCGGATTATAAACCGGAGATTAATTAAAGATTATACGGATTGAAGATTAGAATTCAACTTATATAATTATAATCATCAGTACGAAACGAATTAAAATTAAATTACATTATTAGTAATTAATCGAATTCTAAATCTTCAATTCGATCTTCAATCTAATTCAAACTTTAATGCGTATAGCTTTTGACACGAGATTAATTGTACTCACATTTGTTTTATTTCGAGTGCAGAAGGTGCAACAACACGTTCAGGAGCAAAGAACGGATCTAAAGCTCGCCGACAGCCAATCGGAGAAAAACGACAAGTCTTGCGCCTCGCAATGAAATCATCAATTTTCGTAGCAAAACAGTTTAAGACTTCGGTCGCGCAGCGCGAACGTGACGCCCGAACGGAGAAATCTATTATATCACGTCTTTCGCAGATTTCTCTCGGGTTTTCATCGCAATGAAAAATTAATCTCTATCGATTGAATATCATGTCGCTACATTTATCGCGTATCTTACTCCGATTTCGTTGCATCTCATCTGTCGCTTTCCCTCTCTCTCTCTCTTCCACCCGCGGGATAAAACGCGCGCGCATTCTCGTCCAATGCGGCGAGCGGTAAGAAAAGAACAATAGCGAGCGTGAATAATATAACTTGGTAAGAACAGACTTCGGCGTATATTATACGCGCGCGACACATAATACGTGTATATATACACGCATGTCATACGGGCGGTTTCCATGAGATCGCACGCGATAACGCGTTCCGCCCGCGTCTCGCGCGTAAAAACGACGTTGTGGCGAGCGCGAAGCATCGCGCGTCGGAGAGCGCGCGAGTGCCGAGGAGAGCGCGGTTCACCCAGGGGCGCGATTATCTGTCGCTCTCGCGCAGAGCACGGTCGGTCCGCGGTCGTCGAACGGGGGTCCCTCTCCCCCTCCCACCCGCCATTGCCACCGCCGCCGCCACCGCCACCGTCGCGGAAAAAGTACATCAAGAGACCCCGCCGTCTTGTATGAAAGAACGAAATCGCCGCCGCCGCCGCCGCCGCGCCGCGCGTCGCGAGTAGTACCTAGTTTCGTATAGACCAAGTTCGGCGCAAGTTTCGCTGCGCGGCGACGGATGCGCGCTAGAGGCCCGTCGCGCGACACGCTAGCGACAATTCTAGCGACACTTTTTACACACAGGACAGAGTGCGCCGCCTCAGGGTAACCCCGTCGTCGGCGTCGAGGAGGCCACACGGTAACGCGAGGGTTTCGGGCCTTTCGGCTAGGATCACCGGAGTAAGTATCGACCAACGGCGGGGCCGACGGTCTCCCCCCGGTTCGATCCTCTCCGCGCCGCGCTCGCTCTATCCGCCCGGTTCCTTCGGTTCGCTCTCTTCCCGGTCGGTTCACTCCGCTCGTTTCTCTACCTTGATCTCTTTCTCTCTCCTCGCTCTCTCTCGCCCGCCGGATTCTTCTAGCATCGTGTATTTACAACGCTTCGCTCTCAGCGAACACGTCAAACGCGCTAGTGTGCGTGTGTGTGTGTGTGTGTGTGCCACCCTCATGTATATATGGCACGCATGTAAAACGGCGGGGGGGAGGAGAGAAAGAGACACGGCGAGAAAGAGAGAAAGACCGACTAACGCGGATGTTAGTCCCCCTCCCCTCGCCCTGTCTTAACGCTCTTCTCCCCCTCCCCCCGTCACCCTCTCTTCGCACCTTCCCTCCCAAACCTCCTTCCTGTCGCAAGTCCCCTCGGTCCTCTACAGTCTACTCGCCAGTCTCGCTACTCGGTCAGTACACGGACAAATCTCGACGGCTCCGAATGCTTTCCTAAGGGATTCTTTTCCGCGGAACGACGGAGTACTCCTGAAACGTGGACCTCGGGCGAGGTGGTGGCCTATTCTCACCTGGAGGGATCCCCGTGAGTGCGGAGTTCAAATCATTATAAAGGCGTGCGAGAGAGCGGCGTGTGGCTGCCAAAGGGGCAACGGCGAGACGCGACGAGACGAATGCGATTTTGAGACACACGCACGATGAGACGAGGCGCGGCGCGGCGCGGCTCGGCGCGGCGCGTGGCCGTTCTGCGTCGCTTTTCCCCAGACGTCTGACGAGGGGGCACGACGCGCTCTCGCGGCGTCCCCGTGGGAGAGGAGCGTGAAAAGAACGGCGAGCAAAAGGCGAACGAACGTACGCACGCCACGCACGGTACGCGAGTGAGTACGTAGGAATGAACGAACGGTGAAATTTATACAGGAGGCCCCCGAGGCGTTCTCCTCCTGAGGGGGGTGGAGGGGAGGAGGGGGGAAGGGTGACTGTCTCTCCCGCAGAGTTCCCGTTTTTGTTCCGCGTGTGGAGACGAGACGCGCGTTCCGAGTTAAAAAGCGAGACACCCGGCTTCGCGACGTCGTCGGGCGGCACGCGCATCCGCGAACAGCGTTTCGTGAGTATTCGTGACCGTCCGCGTTCAGTTCGCCTTCCGACCTCCTGGTCTCTCTTGGTGTGCCTCTCCGACGAACTCGAGAAACCGACACGTGATCTCGCGCCCGGGGTGAGAAGAGCGAGTGTCATCAGCATCGTCGCCGACGGCGATATATCCGGCGAGAGACGCGCGCCGTGTTATACACCTCCGTCCTGGCCATTGTGTCCGCTCGTGACGCGCGCAAGAAGCGGAGCGAGCGAGTGAGTGACCGAGTGGAGTGCTCGCAGGCAGTGAGTGCAGTGCACACAGTTCGTCCTATTCGTCTCTAAACACCCGCTCGCTCGCTCGCTCCGCGCGTGCATCCGTTCCCTGTGGGCAGACACACGGGTGGGCTTCTGTCACACGCGCGCGCCGCGTCTGATTTTTTTTACGCCGCCGGCGGCGGCGTCCGTCCGTCCGTCCGTCCTCCGCCCGATCATATCGGCCCCTTTCGATCGATTCCGCAGACGCCGCCGATTACGATCGCACGTTCGAAATATATCGGCCCTGGGATATATGTGTGCCTCTATTCCGTCGAGCGCGGTTCCCTGCAATTGGAACGCCGAGCGTCGTGTCGTTAGGGAGGAGTGGTGCATGGCGTGCGCGTTCGTGCCTTTATATTTGTATAAATATATGCGTGCGATGTGTGGATGTGTGCGTGCGCGCGCGCGCGCGGATCTAACGTAAAATATATGTATATATATCTCGGGTGCGTATGTGTAATCCAAGGCGTACGCGCGTGTGTGTGCTGTGCGTGTGCATGTATTTACGTATGTGTACGCGCGCGCGCCTATATATCTCGGTTATGTGCGTGCGCGCGTACATGTATGTGTTATGCACAGATATTGTTGTTCCGCTCCAGACCTATGCCAGACAGCCATATTGTAATTTTTCTTTTTTTTCCCTTTTTTTTTTTATTATCAACCCGTCGTGTCTCTCTCGTTAACCTAAGAGCCTCGGGCTCTCGATCTCTTTTGTTCGCGCACGCGAGACGCATCGCGGTTAAAACTCCGGTGAGACTGGGCAGCACGCGCGTGTCCCCGCGGGGTCGCGGACGATCCCCCTTCGAGGTAACCGAGTCGGCGACGGCGGTGGCGACTCGGGCCTGGTCCCCGCGAGGGGCCCCCGTCTTTGTCTTTGTCTTCCGATCCGAACGTTCCCGCGCACGACGCCGCCGCCGCCGCCGCTGCTGCTTACGCCGAGGACGACGACGCCGCGCTTCCCACGACGACGGCGACGGGGATGGCTGTGAAAGAGGGATCGTTCGCCCCGCCGGCCGCCCCGCGCGTCGCGAGAGTTCCGTGGCGCCCCGGGGAGTCTCTCGCGAGGCCGCCGGAACGTCAGAATTCGTCATTTGCGTTTTCGTTAATTACGGCGTCGCCAAGAATAACTCTGCGGCCCTTCGCGCGCCGCGGCGTCGAGTCCGCTCCTTCCCCGAATCCGTTTCCGAAGTTAGCGGTGTCGAACGCCTTTGTTGAACGTTTTTTTTTTTCTTTTTTACTTTTTATTTCGCGAGTCTCCATTAGCGTGCCTTGTGAACGCGCCGCTTTGTTCAACCATTTGTACCCGAGTGACGTACAAAAGATTGAGAGACGTCTAAAGGATATAAATTGTTTTTTTTTTTTTTTTAGAGTTCACATTTTTAGTTCTTTTTATCTTATTTAGAAAATATATTCTTTAGAGTGATTCCCATAAATAATTGTGCGATATCGTGTGTTCGAAGTAAAATACAGTTCCTCTGCGACGATCACGCAGATACAGTGAAACAATCCAGATTTTGACGAGTTTTTTTTTTTACAGGCAACTTGTCCTTCATTGAGCTGCAATCATGGAATCTGGAAGTAACGTGCCCAATCCGGGCACCTATCCCGGAGATCGGCAACAGTTCTGCGTCTCTTGGAATTCCCATCAGTCGAACATGCACAGCGCGTTTCCAAAGTTACTCAGCTCGGAGCAGTTTGTCGATGTGACTCTGGCCTGTGACGGAGGCTCGATAAAGTGTCACAAGGTTGTGTTGTCCGCATGCAGTGACTACTTGGAGCGTCTTCTGTTGGAAATTCCGTGCACGCACCCCGTCATCTTTCTAAGAGACATGAAAATGTGGGAGCTACAAGCTTTGGTCGAATTCATGTATCGCGGCGAGGTCTACGTCGAGCAGCAGCAACTCGCTACGTTGATGCAGGCAGCGGAAGTTTTGCAGGTACAGCTCTTTGACGTGCGTTCTATCCGCGTCTACTTGACAACGCTTTTCATAGCTGTACTGCTTTGCCCTTCTAGCAGTATGTTCCAATGTGATCTGATAACATTTTTTCCAGCCACTTTTACCCTAAAAACATTTTTACTTTCAACTACTTTTTGTCTCTTTGACCCTTACATCTTTAACTGTTTAAATTTTAACTTAACAAAGACTATGAAATGTATATAAGATTTTTATATAAAAAATACAAAATGTTAATTACTATTATATATAGGTATATATTAACATTTTGTATTTTTTTTTAATAAAAATCTTATACACATTTCATAGTCTTTATTAAATTAAAACTTAGAGTTAAAAATGCAAGAGTCAAAGAGACAAAAAGTAATTGAAAGTAGAAAAATTATTATTATATTATATTATATTATTATATTAGGACAAAAGTGGTTGGAACTAAAAATGTTATCAGGACGTTGGAGCACTGCTAGAATGGTAAAGCTAAAAGCAGTAGAGCTACGAAAAGAATTATCAAGTAGTATATTTTATATATAATAGTAATTAATATTTCTTTGCATTTTAGAGAATAATATGGGGAATTATATAGTAATATATGTATATATATATATGTATGTATATATATATATATATGTATGTATATATTATATGAAAGCTTACATGAAAAAGAATATATGTTATACATTCTTCGATAGGTTCGTGGCTTATCCACTCAGGGATGCGATAACTCGTTGAATGAGAGCAATACACAATCGTGCGATTCTAATGCACCTGTCACTCCGTCGACTCCTACTCACGATACCAACTACAAGGTGGAGACTTCATCTAACGATGGAAGTACCTCCGATTTCCTCCCATGTACGGCTATAGCTAGCACAACAGGAAACAACTCGACCTCTATCACTCCACCTGTCTCGCAGACCCCCAATTCCTCCAATTTCGTAAACATGGAGCACAGCGAAGCGCTGCAACATTTGGAGAAAGCTCTCAGCGCTTGCGAGGCGACTCTTACCGAGACAACGGGTATGGTGAAGATGGAGCCGGATGAGCAGTTCGTACAACAGCAGGACGTCAAGCCGTATTCCATTAGTATGGTCTCCAGTAACAATTGCAATCCTAGCAGCCCATTTCCTGCGATCGAAGGTGAGGTGATTTCCACATCGAGCTAATCTTTCTGGCTTTACTCACATATCAATTAAGATCCGAGAACTCTAACAAAGTACAAAGCGGAGCTTGATAATATTATAATATGAACCTTGCAATTCTCAGTTTCGGGAGAAACTGAGATCCCAGTTCAGGAAAACTGCACGCCGCATAATCTTCGGTCTTTAAAACGCACCTCCGAACAGTCCAAACCAAATAGTACGTAATTATATCACAATTAAGGTCAATGTACCATTACTGAATATGTATTTGTGTATTTGAACAAGTACAAAAACGTATTTTTAAATGCTTTTTTTTATAATATCATAATTTAATTGTAATCTTTAAATATTTTTACAATTAAATTTTGTTATTATAATAAAAAAATTTTAGATTAATAAATTTTGTGTACATGTTCAGATATAGATACATGTTCAGTAATGATACGTTTACCTTAAAATGCTAAAGCATTCTAATAATTCGATGCTCATTGTGCATCTTTTTTAATGTCGTGAAACTTTTTAATGTTGCGAAAGCTGATCTTGGTAATACTAGCATTACAGACGCGCGTGCTATTTAACATTTTTTAAATACTATACGACTATCGATCTCAATAAACAGCTGCTCGTGAAGCGCAATGACAGAACCAATCAGAATCGCGGAAAAGATGCTTCAAACTTCGATAGATGCGAGTATCGATGTCATGCCTTTTTTTTTTTTAGATAGGATTAGGATTTATGATACGTGTATAACGGAACTTGATCTCCTCCTTCCTATTTTTTCTTATCTAAAAAATTTCCATTTCTAAAAAAGGCATGTTAAGTGATCGGTAATTTATATCTCTAGAAATATTGTTGCCGCTTTTCCGTGATGCTAATTGGTTGTCTCACTATACTTACTTCGTTGAGCGGCATTGCATGTTTTAACAGCTGTGTGTTGATTGAGGTTGAGTAATAGCAAATTAGTATTATATAATAAAAGTAAAAAATATTAAATAGCGCGCGCGAGGCACGCGTCTAGTAGTATTAAAAAGATGCTCACCGAGCATCTTTTTAAATGTTGTGAAAATAACTTATTGCGAAAAATATCACCTCAGCTAAAATTTAAAACTTGGCTCTGCTCTCCGAGCGGGCCTCTTACCCCTTCGACCACCCAGGCGTGTGATAATATTTATCGCAGTAAATTTAGAAAGAACATCTTTCAACGGCGTGTATGAATAACTAAGTGCCAGAATTAATTGTGGAGTGTTATAAACAATTAAGATGCGAAAACGCCAAACAGAGTAAGATCTTGGTGCTTGAGAATATTACAATATGTGAATCTTACAATTCTCAGTTGAGGCACGCCGCATAATCGTCGGTCTTTAAAACGCAGCTCCAAACCGAAGCTGCTTTTTATATTATCGTGTTGTGAGTAAGATTCACATATTGTAATTCATATTATCGCACATTACAGTTTGTCGGCGTTTTCTCATCTTAATCTTGTTCGTAACACTCCACAGTCAATTGCGATATTTAGTTATTTACTCCATGTATCATTGGCACGCTTGTGAACGTTTATGCTGATCATTTCTGTGTATTTAAGGGTATCAAAGACGACAAAGGCGTTCGGAAGAGGAACTCAAGCAAGCTTCGGACATGGTGGCACGCGGCATGACGTTTCAAGTAGCCTCGGAAAAGTACAAGATACCGATCAGCACAATCCGCTTTTATATGGTCAGAAAGGGTATTCTGCAGAGGCGAAAACGCGGCCGCGGCTCCAGTAATCTTGGTATGAACAGCCAACCGAGTAGTCCGGCCAGTCCACCGTATCATATGATGAATTACCGTTTGCCGGAGAGCCTAAATTCCAGCCTACCGTAGTGCTGTACAAAGAAGTAGTGAGTTTTTTTTTTTAAGAATTCAGTTTTGAATCGGACAAAAACTTTTTATCGCCGCATCATCAGAGCTGTTCCAGACCGTCTCGTCGGTTTTTATACTTTGACTCCTTTACACTGAGTTCGTATTTTATTTTTCCTCCTTTTTTTTTAATTTTATTTCCAGCTCATACATCGTGCATTTTCATTCGTATATCGCAGCGGCGCGTTGGCGTGCCGGTTTACAAGACTACTATGTTTACAACATGTAACGTATTTCTGCATTTATGCCATTTATTGACCCGAGTGCGCGTTCTGGAGATATCGTTTGTGTCTCGAACAGCTCCGCTCCATGTACATACAGAAAGAAAAAGGATACCATATGTAACAGTTCGAACACAGCATTAAGTTAAGAAAGAACTTGCAATCTATCGTGCTCGTGTTTTACATCATATTTATGTTGGATTCCGTGTCCTTAGGAAGACTGCCTGAGAAACCCAGTTTTTTTTTTTTTTGTTGTTTTAAGTACAAAGATACCGATTATTGTACTGTAGAGTATATACTGGTGTATCGTAGTAGATATGTATTATAAAAGCTAGCGCAGCGGACTATACACTATACGTGATTCACAATACGTGATTCGCGATTCGCGACCGTTCGTTCACTAGTGAATCTCGTGATTTGCGAACGGAAATAGATTCGTTTTGCCGATAGAGTGAATAGTTTTCTACGAAATCAAAAGATGCAAATCGTTGTTTATCAATTATTCGTGCTCGTTTGTGCAATACAGTGCAAACGATGAATCACGAATCGCGAACAGGCACACGAATCAAGGGGCGGGATGTTTCTCAATCCTGCCATTCGGCATACGTTATTTTTTGAATTTTGAAAGTTGGACGTGTTCCCCTCGTTACGAATCGAACACAAAGAGATTCACTTTGACATTTGTGTCTCGAAAATGTGAGGCAGAAAGCAATCGTACTCTTACAGCGTTTTCGGACCGAACGGATTTGATCACTCCGAGAGCGATTAATAACGTCACATGCTCTCCTCGTCCATTGAGAAATCTAAAATAGAGAGCATGTAACGTCATTAATCGCTCTCGAAGCGATCAAACGTGCTCCGTCCGAAAGCATTATTATACTCTTAACATCCTCGATGTCTTTGTTATCTGCGACAATCAATATACTTTCAATATCCTTGGTTTACTTAGTTGTCTGAAAGGCAGTCTGTTTTTGCATTTTTCAAAGTGGTTATTTTTTTATATAATCGATTTTCACGAATCTACTGCGAATCGGGAATTGTGAATCATGAATTTATGCTAATGCCACCTATAGTGTGGCGTTAGTTTTAAAGAGGCAGTCTATTTTGAAATTTTTCGAAATTTTTTCTTGGACAATACTAAAGAGACAAAGAACGAAGGTCTTTTACGATTTTTATACAATATACTATTTTGTTTCATCTGAAACAGATGTTGAATATATAAAAGAAACACTTGACGCTTTGTTTTTAGAAATAGAAGGTGAAAATCTTCCAAATGACGATGCTTTAAGGCTAAGTTTTTAATTTTTATTTAAGGTTATGCGTGTATAAAATTTTTTGTAGACTTAAGGCTCCTGACTAGTCATCGCGGCCATGTTAGAACCGTGACATTATAAGCGAGAAATTCCGCGTAAAAGTTTCTTGCGTGCCATAAAGAGAATTTGTGTGAAATTGGAAAAAAAATGGGATCGCTTTGAGAAAATTTGTAAAAGTGGGTGGAATCTTTTTCCCCCTGACAGTCAGAGGAGAAAAGGCACGTAAAGTGAGGCCTATTCAGGCAAAAAAAAAAAAAACTCAAGGAACTCTGGAAGATAAAAGAAAGTGAAGAATATGTTTTTATGTATAATATGTATATGTATAATATGTAATTCACAAATAACTTTGCTTTCTATCCATTTTTACGAAGTTGATAAGTACGAGACATTTTCACAATTAAGCAATGTAATAACGAAATGGCACGCAAGACAAGATCTTGTTCGTTGTTCAACACTTTCACAGTAAGGTCCGTTCTCTTCACAAGTCAAGCATATTCTTTTAACATTCGATTGTGATTAATTCTTATTGTTTACGATACCGGCATAGAATTGCAGAATTCTATTGTGAAGAGTTTATTGTCTCTCGAGGATCATTCACTTTCGAGAGACAATATACGCCTACAAGGTGTTAGCAAGAAATGCAGTTGTAAAAGCCTGACCAGCTTTTCAACAGCTTTAAATAATATATTATTAACGAAAAAAGCATCAGGTGCTTTTTGTTATTACGCGATCGATTATATTCGATAAATAGGACCCCCTCCCTTCTCTCTCTTTCTCTCTCTCTCTCTCTCTCTTTGTCTCTAGAATTCTTATGATACTGACAAATATTGAAGAACGGGCCTTAGAGGACAATGAACAAATTGCGATATAGTATAGCAACTCTAAGACGATAAGTTCCAACAAATTTGCGTGCTTAGAGAAGTGTGTCCAATTTAGATCAGGACGTCGCAACGAAAAAAGAATAGTATAATTACCACCGCAGTATAATTTCCTAGTATATTCGACATTAGATATCTTCCATCCTTTCAGAGTAGCTTCAAGCATATCACGGTTAGGATTGCGATCTAGCAATGTCTGAGACGGCACAGATATCTGAAAGATATCCCCGCATTATTAAATCTCAAATTTAATAATGCTCCATTTACGAAACTTGCACGCGAATGCATTAATCCTCGAAAAGTCGCTTCTCTCGAACGAGAATTGATTTCGAAAAAACTACCTAAAATTGATTCTACACCGTATTAGGTGCGAATTAAAGCTTCGGTGGAAACTAGACTCACTCACTTAGATTAGAGAATATGTCCAATTTCAGATCAGGACATCGCAATCGAAAAAGGAATAGTATAATTACCTCCTCCAGTATATTCGACATTAGATATCTTCCATCCTTCCACAGTTGCTTCAAGCACATCACGGTTAGGATTGCGATTTAGCAATTTCCGAGACGGCGAAAAGGTCTGAAAGATATCCGTATTATTTAAATCTCAAATTTAATAATGCGAAACTCCATTTGCGAAACTTACGCGCAAATGTATTAATCACGTCCTCGAAAAGTCGTTTCTCGAACGAGATTTAAAAAAAACTACACGAAGTTGATTCTATTAGGTGCAAATTAATGCTTCGGTAGAAACTAGATCACTCATTTGCTTTAGTATGGTATCAAACAGACTAGAGTTTATGAATCTTCCAAAACTTGCATGATTTCACAAATGAAATTTGATATGTTAGAAAATCTCGCGTTTAAATTTAGAAGGAACATTCAACAACCGTGCTTACACGTTTTTATCTTGTTATTATCACCGCGTTAACGCGGAGTCCTTGGCTGATTATGAGTAGTCAGGAGCCTTAAACTTTCATCATAATGAAGCTCGTCAAAGAAAGCTACTTCATGTTTTCTTTACTGTACGCAGGAATTGGAAAAAAATTCTGTTAAGAAGGAAGCAGAAATTTTTGACAAAACGTACTTTTTTGAGAACTTTGAAATAAGCTGCCTTTTTAATGTTTGTTCTCGTACGAAAATACAACATTATATTGCGAGAACTCCATTCGTCATCCATCGTGAATTAATATCGAAAATATTAATTCTATACTTATAAGTGCTTGCGTTGTATCGGCGTCATACTTATAAGGGAAAATGACACTAAAGATCAAAAACATTAGAGCGAGCGTTGAACAAATGTGTTTAAAATCTTATTATTTTGAGACTTTTTTATACGCAGGATTTGTATGTAAGCGCACTTAATGAGACGTTCATTGACGAGAATACGAGTTGTATAGGATATTCATATAACTAAGATAAGAATTCCTTCATGCTGTGGACGAACGCTACGCGTATGGTTGATTATCAGCCGTGTTCCGTTCTTCTACACTAGTGACACGATGTAGTTGGATAGTTTTGAATCCTGCATCAATATCGTTCGTAACAAGACGGATTTACAAAGTACAGTTCAAAAAAAAAAGAAGAAAAGACAAAAAAAACAGAAAAAGAGAAAAAGAAGATTGACTGTGTATAACCGATATTTTTTTAATGACCTCGAAATGTTTTGACGGAAAGGCATTCGTAGCATAAGTTATTTTTTATTACACCATATTTATATATGATTCAGTGAAGCTCAGCTTGCTCTCGTTAAGTTATCTGTGGCATCTGTACACTTGTACGTATTTACCGAGTATTTATCTTTCTGTATTTTTAAATAAGCCCCGCTCCCCCCACTCATGGGGGAGATAAAGAGATTCTTAATTACGACACGCTTTATACCCTGCACCAGAGAGTGACGCTTAAAGATCAAAAATGTATACAGTTGTAGAAAAGACAGTGTGGGACTTGTCCATGATGATCGATTAGTCACTATGTTTAAGACTGGTAACACGTGGCTAATATAACCAGATTAAAGTTTTAGACACAGCAATCCTCAATCTATTATATAAATATTTTTGTAGGCACTTTGTCGAGGAAGGTTTCTTCTTTCTGCCTTTATTCTATAATATACCTTGATAACTTATACAGTAAGAGGAACCGGTATTTATTCGAATGTTTACCATTTAGCTTTGTTGAAAACATCACAAGAGATGAACGATCATGACGTATGTAGTGCTTTTTACATGCATAGTGTACAAATAACAGCATTTGTAATTGACGATAAGAATAACCTGTTGTCTGTAAAAATTGGCGAAACGCCAGTCTCTCGTTGTTTTTACGGACACTGGTTCTGCCTTTTCAAAGAAGTTTAATTGTGTAACTGTGGCGCGCATACAATGTAATTGTACGGTGTATTGCCTTTGTTAAATAGCATTTTGGATAAAGCCATATTTTTCCATGCAACGCAATAATCCAGCAAAATAAATTACAGTTAAACTGAGAAGCAGCCTAAAATAGGAAAGAGTGCCAGATACAAAACAAAAAAGTGGATATGAACAATAACACATAGAGGATAAAGTAAAGTTTATCTATCACTTAGAGTATGTAACTGCCTTTCTCTGGCCTCATACTGGATCATTAATTTATTTATATTAGACAATATACAAGATACATGTAAAGGAAAAAAAAAATTTAATCTAACTTAGAAAGCTTGTTAGAGCTTCTATTAATTGCAGTAAGATTGCTGCCATCCGACTGATGAATACATTCTCAAGAAGCTGAAGTTGAACATTTATAATCGAAACATATGTCACAGATCTTACATTGTATTTATTCTCATTTGTCATTTCTTTATTGCAATTCATTACGTATTTAACAGACACGATTGTCTCTGTACATTTCAATATATCTCGAGATATATCGGTAAAAAGAAAGGAAAGAGAAAGGAAACGGAAACAAGTCACATATTGAATAATCGTGCGATTATTGAGTGCACGGTAATATTGTAATACGAACTAAAAACATGACTTGCAATTGTTGCCTGTTGTAATGAGATTGTCCAATGAGAGTTGAATTGTAATGACTTACTCGTATACACATAGCATTCTTTCCAGCAAAAGAATCGGTATCGTGTAAATCATTATTCTAAGAGTTCCAGTTGACAAAGGTTTTATACGGATCTATTAAACCAGTATTTCAAACCAATGAAAAATAATTAGTTTTCTAATAATAATGATAATACAATACACTTTTATGTGAATTTAGTACAGTGCTTAAGTCAGTAATGCTCAGCGTATCTAACAGATATTTTTAGTGGAACTCCGTGTCATACTCACATGTATCATAACGTCTTAAAGTATGTAAACTAAACCACAATCAAAGAAGTGTGAACGATACTTAATGACTATTATCATAATAGCCACTTATGATAGCAGTAAATAGGTAGCCATTTTGAGGCAGTTTATTATTATATTTAATTACACTGTGTATCGCTTTGGTCTCTCCGTTTTTACGATGGTATTATTATTTGTAGATAGAATCATAACGCTAGAATCGATTGAACCTCGAATCATTTATTTGTAAGTCTTTTTTACAGTTACCGAATATCTAATTGATTAAATAGGCAATGCAATTAAAATGAGAAAAGAAAGGGAAAAAAAAGACACAACACGGACATACACACGTGACATATATAGATCTGTGGAGCATAAAATAACTTTTCAACGTTTGATTTTTGTTAACTTTTGGATTTAATATGTATATCTATATGTTCGATTAAGTTGACAAAATCATAGCATAAACTAGAATCAGTAGTATTTTTATATTTTGTTTTTAGCTTAAGTTTTTATTATTAGCGATGCTGTAGTAGATTTATGTAAGCGAACTTTCCGAGGTAATATTTTCTAAGAGATTGATTAAGAACGTGATCAATCACGTGATTTGGAACGTTGAAATAAAGCGAACGTCGGGCATGTTCCGCGTTAATACACGCGAGACTCCGATCTCGTTCGCATTATATGACGTCGCCATATTACGTCGGGAAGCGTTACACGTAAAACTGATAATAATGATATGTTAGTCAGTTTCCTTTAATATGTTAGTCAGCTGATTGATTAATTTTTCTTAAGAAATCGCGAGTTAGTAATACATATATAGTTCTGTTGCGTATCTTGCGACAAAAAAATGTCACTTTGATGTTTCGTGAATGAGTTCTGTAGCAACAATAGACACGATTGACTTTTAGTGACATTCAATTTTCTAACTGTAGGGTAACGAATCTAATACGATTTATTAATTAATTAAGGATTGGTATGCTGTATGATGAATGATTTATACATATGCATTATGCCATGTTACGCCGAATCGCCGCCGACGCTTCGATCGATTTGTTTTCTCCGAAGTACTCGTTACTCAGTTCCCTTCGCAGTGACTCGCGCGACACTGTCCCGAGCGATTCAGTATTATATTGTACATCACGTGCGAAAGCCTTCGACTGCGTCCATTCAAACGGTGTTAGATATCCTTAGGCATTTAGATTCCGTAGGGTAGTCCCATTAGTCACACTTATTATTACCACACGAATGTATATTTTGCGCTGTTGCATCGAGAGCGGCCCGTATTCGCAGAAAAACGCTTCGCAAGCGGACCCGGGGGACGAATCCAAGATCCACACGCGCGACGGACATGAACTGTGAACGTAACGATCGCCTCGATGTATATCGACGAAGTGACGTTTGGCGCGAAAATTTAATTAGATCGTTTGTACATATACTTGCACATTGGTACACATTGAGACAAGCACGTTCGTTCGTTCGCGTTTGTCCGCACTCTATGCTTCCACGCGACGGACGTGAACTGAACGTAACGCTCGCTTTCCCCTTGATTGTGTATCGACAAGAAAATGACGCGATTGGCGCAAATTTAATTAGATCGTTTCGTATTTGCACGTCGGTACGCATTGAGACAAGCTTGTTCGTTCGTTCGTTTGTTCGCGCACTATGCTTCCATGCGACGGACGTGAATTGAACGTAACGATCGCTTTCCCATTGATGTATCGACAAGGAATGACGATTGGCGCAAATTCAATTAGATCGTTTTATACTTGCCACATTGGTACACATTGAGACAAGCTCGTTCGTTCGTTCGTTCGTTTGTTCGTTTGTTCGCGTTTGTTCACGCTCTACGCTTCCGACAGACGTGAACTGAACGTAACGATCGCTATCTCCGTGATGTATCGACAAGGAATGACGATTGGCGCAAATTTAATTAGATCGTTTTATACTTGCACATTGGTATACACATTGAGATAAGCTCGTTCGTTCGTTCGTTCGTTCGTTCGCAGTTGTTCTCGCTCTACGCTTCCGACAAACGTGAACTGAACGTAACGATCGCTTTCTCCGTGATGTATCGACAAGGAATTGACGATCGGCGCAAATTTAATTGGGATCTTTCTGCACTCGCGGATGGGATAACGAATGGATCAGTACGCGAGCACGTTGATTCGTAATCGGCGGTTTCGGGTTCGATTCCCGATCCCACATATGTCTCGATTTTATGAGATTTATTAGAAATGTAACTATATAACATATAACTGTCCTTGCTGATTGGTACACATTGAGACAAGCTCGTTCGTTCGTTCGCGTTCGCGCTCTATGCTTCCACGTGACGGACCTGAACTGAACGTAACGATCGCTTTCTCATTGATGTGTCGGCAAGGAAATGACGCGATTAGCGCAAATGTGTGTGCAAGTACAAATGATTTAATTAGGCTAATTAAATCATTTGTACTTGCACACATTGAGGCAAGGTCGTTCGTTCGCGTTCATTCGTTCGCGTTTATTCGCGCCCTATACGCTTCGGCGGGGGATCCACTTGGACGCGCTAACATCTTCGCTTTCGAGTTGCAATATCATTCGACATTTCGTCGCACCACCCCGGAAAAGAATATAATTAGTTTTTGTAATCGATTATCTCTTCTTTGCGTCTCTTTCTCGTCGGGGACTGTTAGCGCACACGCATTCAGTTCTATATGAATATGTATTATACTATATGAAAAATGTTTGGCGTACGATTATCGGCGTATGTGGAGTGACGATGTGTCTCGATTTATCAGATTGTTGTTGTCGTAAGCGCGATCCGAATACGGGTAAGAAGCGTGCGGATTCAGTGTAATACGGCAAAATATACTTGTACGCGAAGAATCGACACATATGTATGAGTACACACACGCGCACACATATACACACAGAGAGTACAGAGAAGAGACATATAAGGGACGAGGGATGAAGCAGAGCGAAACTCGTCCCGCGACTGTAATACAATTCGCAGAACGTACCGTGCCGTTCGGTTTTTGCTGATCGCAACAAACCAGCTTTTATAATTCGCGTGTAAGACCGCCGTCAGGAGATCTTAATTAAAATCGGTTACGGGTGTCGTTATATAGTAAGGCACTGAGTATATAGTCAGCAAGGATATAGAGAAGCAGAGATATTCCATGTGAGAATAAAAAAAAATATAGACAAGAGTAAATAAAAAGAATGCGAGGTGTGGTGTGACTCTGAAAGTTTCGAGCGTGGACAAATCGGAGTTGCGTGTGGGAGAGAAAGGGTCTTTCCGGCGCAACGGAGATGTCTTTACGATCGTTTGTGTATATGGTGTTGCACTTCTGAAAGTAACCCTGACTTCCGAAAGAAAGAGAGAGAGAGAGAGAGAGAGAGAGAGAATAGCAAGAGAGCTAAGAATGATAAAAGAACTTGTGTGCGTAAACGAGAGATTGATTAACTGGATGAACTGGAGATGCACGAAATCTGCGCTTGTCGCCAACGTTTGCGATGGTTTATTAGAGAACGATTGTCATTACTTTTGCCACTTTTTTTACTTTAATTACCATTAACACCGACATATACTCTCGAAATTTTCTAGAATGACTTTTCACTCTTTTGGAGTGAATCTCCAAGAGTGAAAATACTACCACTCTCGTGTGATCGAGTGACAGTATTTCCAATCTTTTGGAGTGAGATTCACTCCGGAAAATTTAGAGAGTACAATTCGTACTCCGTTGCAAGATTATCATCCACGGACAGATTCAAAATCGCATATAATGTATATAATATAAATATATACATATACATGTATATATTTATATATATATATATATATATTGTGTATACACATAGGGTACATATTTATGATATATTTGTATATACGATATATATGTATATATATATTTATATATATATATATATATGTACGTGTATACGTATATATTCGATGAATTGTTCAATATTCTTATAACGGAAAACCTTGTCCAGTAATTATTCTTGCGGAGGTGCCTCGCTTCTCCCTCATTCTTTTCTTCCTCGTAACAGTCATTTGATTTTTGCAATATAATGAAAGTTTGAACGATTTTTATTCCAACCAAAAAATCTGACCGAATCGTCACTTTAAACGCAGCGCATATTTCGACATACAAATTCTACTGTATTTACATTTATTTACAATTGTAAGTAAGCTTAAGGGTTGTAAGTAAAAGTAAAGTTGGCGAGAGAGAGAGAGAAAGAGAGAAGAGAGAATTCAACAAACTTGGATTATAATTTTAAGATCGTGTAACATGTGTTAGTGAAAAAGCATGCTTCTTAGTAGGGAGTTAGGATGCTATAACAATAATTATTATAATTAAAATTAATTATGTATAAGGTATTTAATATAAGTGCAAAGTATTTCCTAATAAAAATACTGCTGAAAAAAATATAACGTGCCTGGTTGTGACTGCGCTCTCTCGTCGATCTCGGAGCGTTTCAGGTATACCGTTCGGCAACGACCTTTGTTCGCTCCGGGGAGTCGAAGGAGCGATGACACCACGGTTTTTCTTATTATGCGAAGAGATGTATGTATACAAGAGTCTTTCTTGGCCGATTTTCTCCTCATTTATTACGCATGTTGGTCCGGTCGCCGACCTCGTTTTTTTACACCTCCCAAGGTCCACGAGAACGAAAACTCTTAGCTTGTATCAATCGGCGAGAGAAAGAAAGGAGAAACAAAAATTACTCGAATTATAATTTTAAGATCGTGGCGCAGCGACCTACGTACCAGTTCACCTCGCGTAATCGATAAGATAATCACCCTTCGCGTTGCTTTTGCGCCAAAATTCTCGAGATGCGTCGTTAAACGTAATTTATCTTCTGTAACGCGATTTGAAAATTAAATATATATATTTTTTAAGTCTTGATGATTTAATCAATATATTTGTATCATGTAATTTTTTTTATAAGCAAGAAAAAGATCTAAAAAAAATTCGAGAAGGCTATATTTCAAAATTGCGTAGTACAAGTTGACTTTTTTTTTCTTTATTTGCGTGCAGAGACGAGCGCCGTCTTCGCGTTTTTCGAAGTAAGGTTGAAGCGAGATCTTTACCGAGATGATATTTTTTTTCTTGGAAAACCGCGCTTTTTCATCGCCAAGAGGAAAACAGGAAAACAATTGTCCTTCTCTTCCTTCTCCCCGTGCCCCTCGTTTCGCTCCGCGGTGTCACCGTCCCGCGAAATGTTCTCGGCCGCGCACGGCCGGGAAATTCGCGAGAAATCGCGGGGTTCGGTTTAATTTCGGATCGGAGGATCAGTGAACTTTCCGAAAGACGTACTTGTAGACAACGGGACAGTCACAGCGCGGAGTTGTTGCTCCTCTATTACATACATATCCGGCGGGGCGGGAAAAGGGCGAAGGGGTGGAAGAGGAATCTCTTTGTGCGTGCCGCCACGTGTGCGTCGCCACGTGTCCGCGGATATTTACAGGACAGTGCGCATTGTAAATGATTATTGTTGCGTCGACGCAATATAACGTCGATTATAGATGATACTGATAACCTTTCTCTGAACGATCTCGAAAATGCGTCATTTATAGGATTATCGAATGGTCATCCGAGTGTGACTCGGGATATTTTCAGATATTCAAAGAAAAATGAAGTATTCGTTATCTGCACCTCGGAAATTATTAAAATCAAAATTTAATTATTATAATTATTCATGATCTGATTTTAATATAAGTATAATCATATTATGACGTTGCTATTGTTGCTGCGCGTTTCCGCAAATATTTCAGCCATTTATAACGCATTTAATGTTGCAGTGCCACTGGCCATTGTTTCTGTAAACAGATTCCTCGGATGGCGCCAACCATACGCGGTGTTACCGAAACACCGATTTCGATTTCATTGATGGGCACAGTTCGCTCAATGGAATACAATGCCTCCTTTTTTTTTATCAAAGGTAAACTGGTAATTTTTTAAAATTATAAATCGTCTGACGTGCTTCTTTTTGTACCCATGATTCTAAGATTTTTGCAACCGGTATTGTCGCGCGTTACAATTACTTGCAGCTTCAGCAAATGCGCGTTTTCACCGCGATCACGCGCAGATCTGTCAAGAGAGAGAGAGAGAGAGAGAGAGAGCGCGGAATAATGTCAAAACAAACGCACGTGAGCGGGGCTTTTCTGACTGCTCACCCTTTTGCCGCCACGCGCGAAGGGCCCGTGCAGGCGCGACGGATATGCGCGGTTCGGGAGACGAGAAAAAAGCGCGCGCGAAGACAAAAGTGTGGGCTCACCTTCGTAACCGCGCTATCGAGATGGTCTACGCGCTAAAAGACAAAAATTGCGTAGCAGCCAAAAGACACATGCGCGAAGACTCCTGTGAGTGCGTACCCCTTTGTGTTATTTTCGGGCGGCGAGTCGTGGCCGCGCTTCGTCGCGGAGGCTTTAAATAGGACCGGGTCGTCCGACGAAGAAGGCAGTTCTCGCGACACCGTTCCTACATGCTGGAGCATCGCACCGTTTTTGACGTGAGTAAACAATAAACGTCAAATTTACGAATGGTGGGATCAGGAGGGGAGGGCGGACGAGAGATCGTCATTGTTTGATCCGGTCGCCGATATCGGATGTCGCAATCAGTACCGGCCGAGCGTTAAGACGTTAGAGCACGTATTAGAGTGACAAGTAATCAGATGTTCTCTTGGAATAGGATTTTCGGCATGGTGAAACTTTCGATTGATGCAAGATCGAAAGGTAAACTACTGAAAAATTCTTCGATACACTGATATTACTCGATGATCATTGATTTCTGCCCGGAACAGATCAGTCATCTCTTCCTCGGAAGCTATATCTACTCTGAAAAATTTAAAGTAAGATGGATAATTACTCCTTCCTCTTTCCCTACCATTTAAATTTATTTTCCCTGAAAGTCAATCTATATAGATCGGAATTTGTGGTATCTTTCCTAAATTAAGAAGATCAAATGAAATATATCTTGAAATGACGCCTACGATCTTTTAACTAACAGCTTTATTAATAGCTTATTTGCCAACAAATTTCTTACATATAATATATAATATTTTCACATTTTGCATAAAGAGATACGTTATAGAATTATTAAATTAAAATGAATATTGTGCTACTAATCTAATAAAATCACACGAAATAACTGAATCGAGCGAATAATTTAATGCTATCGGGAATCAGTAGATTTAGTACCTACTTTCCTTTTTTTTTGCTCAGCGGTTTGCGGTTTTACGACGGAAGTCTTAATAGCGTCGTGCGACAGGTGTCAAATCGTAATATATATATATATACAGAGCACATTACTTCCGCTTCCGATACTTATTAAAGTATAACACCAAATTGCGCGATATTATCTTAAGATCTTGCATCAAGACTGAATGTTTACGGTAGTCGGATGTACGCGGCGAAAATTGGCAGTGAATATCGACTCTTTTGCGTCGTTACCGTGCTGGTCGAATCGATCCTGATCTTACGAGAAAACTAAGAATACGACCTGCGATGTATGATTATTTACTTTTGCCACTAACGATCCAAGAGCCGCAATGAAGAGCCCAACCTATCATACCTTGTATTTAATTTTTACAGGAATTTCGTTATCACAGTAATCTTCGGTTCGCGCGAGGTTTTTCGAGAATTTATTCGAAATTAATAATTATTATTAATAATTAGAATTGTAATTTTAAATGAAATTTCAATGATATGTAACCAAAGTTCAATTTAACGTCCAGACATTTAAGCGATCGATAAATAAGATTGCAAGTTTAGTGTATATAATAATATATGATTTAAAGCTCGGTTACGCTGACAATCTTAATTAAGATCTAGCCTGACGACATCCTTCTTGATGTTATAATCTAATTAAAATATAGATAGAAAGAGAGAGAGAGAGAGAGAATTTCCGTAACTAAATTTAACTGTAAGCGATTTCATTGAGAGGAATCGAGAAAATCAGCTTTAAAGTTGTGGAAAGTGAATTTGCGCTTTTCTGAAAACTCAGGCAGGATGAGTTCTGAAATTTACATTGCTCTTCTCGAGTTGGAAAAAATCGCTCGGATCATCATTACACCGAATTCCGCGATTGTCGCGTAACAAAGGGAGTGGATCCGCGGAGAGCAGCGCGTTGCGCGCCAGATCTTTGCGGAGGCGCAGACTGCGTGATTTCTCGATCGACGACGCCGCGGGACTTCCGGCATCATCGCCAAAATTGCGCCGTCCTCTTGGCAGAGTTTCTGGTGCTCGTGACGCGCGTCAGCGAAGTTCCCCCGCCGAGGGGGGACGGCGATTGCATTACTCACCTATCGTCAGCCAAATCGTGTCTCGCGGGGTGAGATCGTTGCGGGGGATCACCGGACTCGGAGGAAAAATCTTCGCGCGGCTGCGTCCGTTTCACGATCGGCGAACGCGTTGATCAGCGATGTCCGGAATCTGGAATCGAGGTCTTTTCTTACTGTGTCCCCTCGCGGACTTACTTTTCTATCGCAATACAAAATTTGTATATTTTATAGCATGATTCCCTGTATTTTATAAAATTTACATTCACCAACACTTTTACATTTTTTTTTTCAATTTACACACTTGCGTTTTTATGTCTTTGTTATATAAGTTTTATGACTTGCGATAGAAAAGATTGTAAATCAGGGATACGGTGGAAAAACCTGAGAAATATATATATTTTTTTATATCCGGAATATATCGTTGAAAAAATTAATTCCGTTCGTTTTTTTTTAAATTAATAATTGACACGATTCGTTATGTCCCTCTTGTTAATTAATATGAGAACACAGATGCAGAATTTTACAACGTTCACTTATCTTTTTCATTGTAAGTTACAATGAGTATCGGCTCTTATTAATCTCCCTATCTTCTTGTATTGCAGATTTGTCGGATTTCCGTGCTCGTCGTATAAGGCAAATCAGACTCAATATTAAAGTGCGTATAATTAAAATGCATCAGACACATCTTAATAATGCATGTCATGCACGTGTATCGTTCTGTCTTCGCGAGAGATTTTTCAGTCTTTCTTTCCGTGGGGAAGGGGGGGGGGGAGGACTCTTAGTTTCCGCTGTTAGAAATAAATTCGACGATCAATTTCTCCAACGTTGACGGTGCTACTTATCGACGAACCGTCTCGATAAATCCGCTCTCCGCTATAAATCCTCGGCGATTTCTGCCAATGTGCGCGAGATGATGCACGCGTTATGCAATCCACCTTGTTATCCTTCTTCTTTCTTTCTCTCATCTCGCTTCTCTATCTCTGTGTCTCTCTTCGTATTGCGCCACGTAGATGCCGACCGAGTGCATCGCCAACCCGTTGCAGCGGGAGCTGGCCGACTCGATAATACGGCTGCAGCCGCTCGACGAGATCCGCATCCTCCTCGCGTGCGGCGCCAAGCCGAACGAGCCGGTGACCCAGGGCCTCAGGCCCCTGCACTACGCCGTCTGGCAGCGGTACACCGAGGCCGCCCAGCTGCTGCTGGTGCGCGGCGCCGACATCGATGCCACCGACGAGTGCGGCTACTCGGCCCTGCACCTCGCCGCCGAGCACGGCTACCTGGACCTGGTGAAACTGCTGCTCAAGTATGGCGCCAAGGTGGATCATCGGCAGGATACGGGGGAACTTTTCCCCAGGTGCGTCGTGTGTGACTTTTGCTCGTCACGGTGATATCGGTGATCGCTGACTATCGAAATTTTTTAAAACGTTTGTAAAAGATAAAATATCATCTAATCTATAAAATTTCAATTTTGCTTAAATGTTACGTATAAATTTTGTATGATTTTATATAAGATTTTGAATAAAATCAATACACAAATAGTTAGATAACAGTGTAAAGTAAAAAGGTGTGCCATTCAACAATTCATAATTTTTACTTTTAATCATATTGCACTATATTTTACGCAAACGCTTACGAAAATTTTCTGTGGCGCGAGATAAAACTCGCCACGAACGGCACGTAATTTTGATTTAGCATGTGTCGTCGCCTTATCGGTGTTCTGTATTCTCGCGATCCTCCGATTCAGGACCATGTTGTGCGACGAGCCGCTGCGTCTGGCTCTGCGGAACCGCCACGTCGAGGTCGCGAGGATCCTACTCGAGGCCGGCGCTAATCCGAACAAGAGATACTTCTTCGGCTCCGAGATCAATCTGGTGTCGCCCTTGGATATGGAGTGCATGGAGCTGCTGTTAGCCTTCGGCGCACATCCGAACACGCGGGATCGCGCCGGGCTGACGCCCCTCATGAAGGCCGCCAGACTGCCGCAGGTAAACAGCGTCAGCGAGTTGGGCGACTTGCCTGAACAATGTGGGATCTCTTTTTCTTGCAAAGTCAAGTTTAAAATGACTTAAAAAGTCATTTTAAGGAAAAAAAAGGAGAGGTTTCTATTCAATGATTTTCCTTTTTTTTTTTTCAAATCGTCTTCAGGGTCCCTTTTTTCATATTTTGAATTAAATACGGTTTGAATTTCTACTCTCTCGAATTTTATAAAATTCTACGCAGCACGTGGTTACGTATTACGTTTGCGCTTCTGGAAAATCACAAAAAAAAAAGCTAACGCTCTGCCGCGACTGTCGCAGGGCATCGCCTCGGTGCTCCTGCTGCTGAGCTTCGGCGCGGACGTGAACGCGACGGCGGACGCCAGGCACGATTATCGGACGGTGCTGCATTACGCGATCCTCGGCGGCGATCCGGCGGTGATCAATCTGCTGCTGAAGCAGGGCGCCCGGCTGGACCTCGGGCCGGACTATCAGAAACCGACGGCCCTGGATCTGTCCATACTCAAGGGCGACCCGTCGATCGTCGAGATGCTGCTCGAGGCGGGTGAGTGTCGCGACGTATCTCGCAGGCCGATAACGCCTGGCATACGGCCGAAATCGCGCGGCATCCGAAGGCCGAATACGCGCGTCCGGTATTAAATCTATCCGCGTCGCGCGCGACCCTTTTTTTTCCTCGCGATCGTAGATAGACCTCGCGACCGCGCCGGCCAAGAGTCGTTCTCGACGATGATTAACGACTGTCCACAGACTGTCGCTTTTAATCCGACAAATTTGACCTAACATCACTAACTCTAAATTACATCTAAAAATATACAGCTCTAAGTTATATCTAAATATTTCAATAGCGATAATTTCATCGAATTAAAAGATTTTAAGATCATTTAGGTGAAAAGAATTGCATAATTCTTTCGATCGCGGTTCTCCAGGTGCGGACGTGAACGCCTCGTCGCCGATCATCGGCTCGGCGCTGCACGTGGCGTGCGCGGACAACATCCCCAATCGGCTGGAGATCCTGTGCATGCTGCTGGAGCGCGGCGCCGATCCCAACCTGGTGATACGCAGCGACGACGGGCCGGCGCTGCGGCCGGTGCTCGCCGAGTACGTCGCCTCGAACGAGAACCCGTCGGTGGAGGTGGTGGCGTTGCTGCTCAAGTACGGCGCCCGGGTGGTGATCAAGACGCAGTTCCGCGACCCGCACGGCATCCTCAACTCCCTGCAGAACACGGCCGACAAGCCGCGGCTGCTGCGCGCGCTGCTGGAGGCTGCGGAGAGCTTCGATCCCTGCATGATACGACGGTCCAGCAGTCTGACGGACGCGCAGAAGGCCCTGGTGATGGAGGCGGCCCGGACCCCGCTGCCGTTGACCCATCAGGCGAGGCTGATAGTCCGCAAGCTCTGCGGCACCAGGCTACCGAAGATCGTCAGGAAGCTGCAGCTGCCGCAGTCGTTGCACCGTTACCTCCTCTACGACTACTACTAGCCCAGGAGATCGCTGGGAATCGAGACGTTTGTCGGAAGGGATGACGTTTGTCGGAGTACTTCCTTGGATTTCCGGTAAATTGCGGGGATCTCGGTACATATTCGGGCTTTTGGTACTTGAGAATAATTGAAGCCTCGAAACGCGAAACAGCACCGAGTCCATAGATTTTTAATTATTAATCACAGGCAAAAAGAAATTATTGATCTGACAAAATTTATTAACATATTATATAGTGCGATATCTACTTATTATTGTTAAAATTTATTAACATATTAATGCTCGTGATTCTAGCCATCTATGCATTATTAATACGTAAAAAAATCGCCTGAGACATTTAAAGCTATCTAAAAATTTTAAAATAATTAAAGCGATAAATTAAAGCGAAATTTTAAATTTTAAAGCTATATAAAAAATTGTGTTAAAATTTTATTTTCGTTCTGACGTGCTGTTTTCTTTTTCAGAGCTTCAATTGCGTCAAAATCACAGACTTGAGATTAAAAAAAAGGCGAGTATACCTTATTATTTCGCTAGAATCGATCTGTATACTGGAGATCGATAGCATCATCGAGGTCTGTTTTTTGAAGATCGCTGGAAAGACACGGAAGATAAAGTATTTGCGCGCTACTGTCAATTCGATGAGTACAATAACGAGGCTGTCGAGGCACCGACCTCTCGTTTCTACATTACAATTAGTATTCTTCTTTTACACGATGCGTATAAAGTGTGATATAACGTTTAGATAACGGCAATACGTATATATATATTATACCTGTACTCGTTACAATTCTAGTCGCCGAATGTAAGTACGTTTTATATGTATATGTACTTTCTCTCTACTTCCTACTATGTCGAGAAAATCGTATCGCGACGGAGGCGATACAAGATACGGCGCTCCCCGTTGCTCGAACGCGCGAACGATCGGGACACTCGCGAACTCCCGAGAATTCTCTCGCGTCGTCAATATCTATCGGAAATAATTAATAAATTGCGTACGGAGAATTACCTCTCGGAGTTACACGGCGAAATTAAATAATGATCGTCGCCCAGCGTTTGTCACACCGGTGACGAACAGCCGGAGAGGATCTCTTCCAACGATCGGGGAATCACCGCGCGAAGTGATCGACGTACTTTTTTGTACCTTTGTATATACGACGATATATACGCTCAATGTACAATAAAGAGAAATAAAGGGGAATTAAATTATGGAGATACGCTAATCCACTCCTGTGCCTGGGATCAGGGGGGCTAACTCCCGTACATGCTCGACCGCGTGCGATTACGACGTGCAGAATGTTGGGCACGTCACGTTCGGCGGGAGCAACAATGATCCATACACCATCGCCATCCTCGAAATAGCAGCCTCAATACCGTGACTTACGTCAAACTCTTGGCAGTCGCTTTGCCCGTGAGGAAATTCGAGGTTCCTGCACACCTGCGCGCGGGTGCCGAGCTTAATGAGCGCGAACGATTCGCGTAAGCGAAGGAGAAGTGACGTTTCTTCATTTTTTTTAAAATAATATTAATACTGATATAAGAAAAATATTTATGAGATTAATATTAATTTTATCCGCGCGATAAAATTACTTTAATAAAAGAATAAAATCAAGTAAAAATGATTTAATAAAAAGGGAAGAGACCGCGAACAGAAACGTTGAACTAAAGAGGTAAAATTACGATTGAATATAAATGCTAATATAATGCTTTGTTTGCGAATTAGCGTGCTGATCGCCTCGAAGAAGGCCAGAGCAATTTTCTCGATTTGCTTACTCACTTTGTGGTTTTTGCCTGCTTAGCGATTCCTGACGCAAAGACATTTTTGTCTCGATTAGTCGCACCTCAACATCGTTTATGTAGATTTCTTGCGATTAGCAATTATTATACTGTGATAAAATTAAGATAAATCAATTTAACTGCGATAGCGTCATATTAATAAAAAAAGTTTCGATAAATAGCGCTGAGAAAATGAGATCATACTACAAATTAGAATTGATAATTAGTAGAACATTGCAGCAGGTCACGATGACATTAAATCGTCAAAGTGACATTAAAATGAATTATATAAAAAAATGACTTTTAATAATCATTTTGACGTCATTTTGATGTCAAGACGACTTGTTGTTCTGCTTGGGTATCATTGTGTATGGATATATTTTGCATTAACAAGAGAATTATTAAAGATTATTATCTCTTATTAGTCGTGATAATAAATATAGGAGAATAAATATAGGCGTGTTTAAAATTGTATCCTATAGATAATTCGAAAGCAGCCGTAGTGCGTTAACTGTGTAATATACACCATTGGATCCTCGCAAAGTGTACGGGAAATTCCATGGCGCTTCTCCAAGCTCGGTTCGAAATATCCACGAGAAACGACTGTCTCCGCGATTTCTCGTTTTTGCGAACCTATTCGCGACGGGATTTCAAGTTTAGGCGCAAATAGAAGCAAAGTAGTCAAAGGTCAAGATCCGCGCGCGATCGCGACATACGATTCGAATTCGGGGAATTAAGTAAAATATAGATCTCGCTTAAAACGAGATGCGGGAATAGAGAAAGACCATCGCTCTTCCACACATTTATAGCAAATAAATTATACGAATGATAATTATAAGTATATACGAACGCAAATATATAAATTTATGTAATTACAAATACATAAATATTATACGTTTAAATTATCATTTGTTTATATAAATTTTCCGTACCGTCGTTGTATGATATAGTATATATAATATTGCTTTTGAAGAATCGTGTATCGTGACGCGAAATATTTATTTTTAGGATACCAAAGTTCAGTTATACATTTAAAAATTCCCAGAGTTAATTAATTCTTATTTCATCATAGCCCAATTTTATATACGAAATAAAAAGAATAACGTAATTATTGTTTCGTTTCGTTAGAACGCCCTCGGGAAAAAAGTTCGACATATATAATTTATATTAATATATAATTATATGCAAAATATGTCCATATATGTTTCTTTCCTTTGTAAAATTATTCTTTAATACAAAATTGGTAATAATAAGAAGGAAACAAAAAATAATGAAAAGAATAATTTTTACATTATTTTTTTTTACAAAAAATCAAGTTTGAAGAAATGAGAAAAATTGCTCATATATAATCAATCACATATAAGTGATTTAAAATGTACATATATAATTATATATGAGCAATTTTTCTCATTTCTTCAAACTTCATTTTTTGTAAAAAAAAAAACAATGTAAAAATTATTCTTTTCATTATTTTTTGTTTCCTTCTTATTATTATCAATTTTGTATTAAAGAATAATTTACAAAGAAAAGAAACATATATGGACATATTTTGCACATAATTATATATATAATTATATGTGACACTTTTTTTCCCGGCTTGAGTGGATTTGTAGTTCGATCTAACAATAAGATCATCTGATCTTAATCTTAAGATTTCATTCAACCAAGCGATCATACATGACATTTCGAAATTATATGCTTACAAAGGATTTTAATAAAATCGGAGTATACATACATAATACACACACACACACACATATATATATATATATATATATATATATATATACATATACATATATATATTCAAGAGGAGCTCATCGAGGACGGACGTCAAACTTTACCGACCGAGCGACGAGGCGCATCGACATTGCTCGACTCGACATCGACGTGATGTGAGCATCATGGCGGCTAGAGTGTTTGGCTCGATCCTGCGTAAAAACGCAGGATTTTTCGGCGCCGGCAGATTACTGGCGCAGAATAATGCCCCGGCGATCATCGACGTGTGAGTCCAATTAATTGCGCTTGAACGTGGCTCTGTCATTAAGCCGCGTGTGCGCGTTATGTAACGACATAACCTATCCGTCCGCCGTACGCCGTACGTATGTTGACGGTACGTTGTGTTTTGCAGCCAGCATCGTAAGGCCCACCAATGGAACCCGGACAAGGAGTTCCTCGAGCAGTACAACAAGCCGGTGATGTACGCCACGGAGACGCTCGACTGGACGCCGCCGGAGAAGGAGTCCATGCTGGCGCCTCCCCCCATGGCGGAGCAAGTCATACAGAATGTGAAGCTTAACTTCGGGCCGCAGCACCCGGCCGCCCACGGCGTGCTCCGGCTGATCCTGGAGCTCGACGGCGAGATCGTGATCAACGCCGATCCGCATATCGGCCTCCTGCACCGCGGCACGGAGAAACTGATCGAATACAAGACCTACATGCAGGCGCTACCCTACTTCGACCGCTTGGACTACGTGTCCATGATGTGCAACGAGCAGTGCTTTTCGCTGGCGATCGAGAAGCTGCTGAACATAGACGTGCCTCTGCGCGCAAAGTACATTCGAGGTAAAAAAAAAAACGCGATCTCTTGCAGTTAGAGTATGTTGACATAAATACGCTTTTTTGTTTTTTATAATACATGTGATCAAAGTTTTATAATACGTGTAGTCAAAGGGTTCTGCGAGTCTGATAGAATTTTCTCTTTGCTTGCAGTTCTCTTCGGGGAGATCACGAGGATTCTGAACCATATTATGGGCGTTGGAACGCACGCGCTGGATATCGGCGCCCTCACGCCCTTTTTCTGGCTGTTCGAGGAGCGCGAGAAAATGATGGAGTTCTACGAGCGCGTGAGCGGCGCCCGCATGCACGCAGCCTACGTACGGCCCGGCGGTGTCGCTCTCGATCTACCGTTGGGTCTGATGGACGACATATACGACTGGGCGTCCAAGTACGCCGAACGATTGGACGAGGTGGAGGACCTGTTGACGGCCAACAGAATCTGGCGGCAGCGCACGATCAATATCGGTGTCGTGTCCGCGGAGGACGCGCTCAATATGGGCTTCAGCGGCGTGATGTTACGTGGCTCTGGAATTAAATGGGATCTGAGGAAAGTTGCGCCCTACGACGCCTATCATCTGGTCGATTTCGACATTCCGGTCGGCACGAACGGCGACTGTTACGACAGGTAAGTTCCGAGAGTCCACGGGAATCGAGTTATTTAAAAAAGAAAGTTGAAACATAGAAAAAGAATAGATTACTAAGAAATTAAGAGAAAGGATAATTGGATGGATCTGAACCGAGCAATGCGATGAAAAATCTTTCGATTTGAAGAGAATTTTTATGTCTTTTATATCTGAATTTTTTTAATTGGACTGTTACTTATATTCGATTCTGTATTAGCCTTAAAAAAAAGGCATTTATTATCTTAAATTATTTATTCTCTGCAAAAAATAGTATTTAATTACTCTTATCCTTATGAACGAGTATTTAATTTAATTTATCGTTCTAGTCAGAATTAATACTCGATAGAGCTATGTAAATGAATAAAAAATGTCATCACATGTATATATAACTTCTGGATATTATTTATAACATATTTGGCCTCTCTCTCTCTCTCGCCTTCAGATATCTGTGCCGCCTCGAGGAGATGCGACAGTCGCTGCGCATCATCCACCAGTGCTTGAATCAGATGCCGCCGGGAGAGGTGCGATGCGACGACGCCAAGATCGTGCCGCCGCGGCGGGAGGAGATGAAGAGCAGCATGGAGGCGCTTATCCATCACTTCAAGCTGTACACCCAGGGTTTCCAAGTGCCGCCGGGTGCGACGTACACCGCGATCGAGGCGCCGAAGGGCGAGTTCGGCGTTTACCTCGTCAGCGACGGCAGCAGCAAGCCGTATCGGTGCAAGATCAAAGCGCCGGGCTTCGCTCATCTGGCGAGTCTGCAGCACATCGGACCCAAGCACTTCCTCGCCGACATAGTCGCCATCATTGGCACGCTGGACGTCGTGTTCGGCGAGATCGATAGATAATTTCCTGAAATTTGCTCGACAATTTGTATAGCGTAGAAATATAAATTAAAAAAAAAACAAGATAACAAAATATAAATAGAAAAAAATAGAAAAAAAGAAAAAAAAAGCGTAGAAATATAAATTAAAAAAAAAACAAGATAACAAAATATAAATAGAAAAAAAGAAAAAAAAGCGTAGAAATATAAATTAAAAAAAAAACAAGATAACAAGGATGTAAAAAACGTTTGTATATGTTACACATAGAGGAATTTAAGCTGATATGTTTGCACGTTACGCATCCACGTGATATCGTGCGCGTGATGTGACCACGCGATGAGCGTAATAAATATTGTATATATCTCGTCGCGCGCAATAAAAGGAAATGTGCCGAATATAATTGTTTGTGTTGAATGACGCGCTCTCGAATGCGCGTCCGTTTATACGAAACCACGATGTTGCAGCTAGAAACACGTCCGCTACCCAATCCACCCGAAGATCGCGTCAATTTGCGCGCGGTTTTGTGTCAATGCAAAAACCGCGTTTCCTCTATTCCGAGTTCTTTTAATTGAAATGCTGGTAACAACAACAACTTGCGGTGCGGCGCTGTGTCGCAGTACGCGATGCGCTCTTTGAGTCTCAAATGTGAGATGCGCAATTCTTCCGCACGCAAACCATAATGTAAAATGCAATTGACAAACGACGGGAGAGAATTACAAGACACCTTCGCGTTGCGCACAAGAATAGAAGAGAACGGAGACGCCGTTTCGCAAATCTCTCTTCTTTCAATACAAATATGAAACGGCATTAATTATCTCTGAACATGGTTACATCTGGATACCGTAACTATTACGGCGGAGCCGATCGAATGGCAATAAAGAAATGAGTGGCCGACGACCTAAATTCCAAATCGCGTTGACTCCGAAACAAGAGACTGGTAACAAGCAGAAATATTTCCATTATTAATTAAATATACTTTTAATTTTTCTCTTTGATAAATAATTATTAATTTTTTTTAATTACTTTTCGACAAAGATTATTTATATCGGAAAAGAAATAATTTAAAAAAAGTAAATTTTTCGAAATGATATTTTCTTAAATAATATTATTTATGATATTTTCGTGTAACATTCGAAAGAATAATATTTAAATCTATTTCAATATTCTAATTTAAATATTTTTTTCACAAGTCTATTTTATACGTCATCCACAGCAAAAAGATGTATATTTCACGAATCCTTCGAATTTATGACCTGAGGATAGATTTAATGCCTTGTTCTTGCGAAATTGGCGTGATATTACATTTCGGAGACATTTACATTGATGAATTCGATAGAATGTCAAGTTCATTTTTATTGCTTTCAAAACTGATCGTGGGATAAACTTATTAATGATTTCTTCTTTATTTTTAGTCGTAGGACTAGCAGCGCGAGAAACAATGTCGTAGAAACAACAATTACATCGATTCGCACTCGCGGATCGGTTCGTCTTGCATGGAAGGGAACCGGCAGCGCCTGCAAGATACCGGTCGACCTCCACCAAGCCGTTCCATTTCATTAATTCACATCGCGCTTACGCGCGGAATGAGCTTCCGTCGCCCAGGGAACCGAAAGGAGAGATCTGCCGTAATGCTAGGAGCTGGGATTTGCACTCCGGACGGCCGCGTAAGAAATGAAAATTGTTTCGTAGAAATGTAGATGAAGAAATATTTGCGACAACAGCTTCTTTTCTTTTTTTTTCTTTTTGCTCTTTCTTTTTTCGTCGCACGGTCCGACCGATCGTCTCGCGGACGACGGAGACGACACTTGTGATAGATGCCCGTCGGAGGAAATCGTAGTTCATCTAATTACCGTGTCCTCCTGTCAAGCACGACGAGAAGTCAAAGCGTCGGCTTTCTCTATTCCTTTCGCCGGTGAAAACCGAAGTTCGCGTTTACATGCCAGCAAGACGATAATGTGATTACTGATTTTCGAATGGGCCTTCGACGCCCAAGAGGCTCCCTTTACGAAAACACGATGAATTATTACAGATTTTATGAAAAATCAGTCCACAAATGGCACAAATTACCAAGCTGATTTCCAGCTGGTGTATACGAGTATTTGCTTTATCTAAAAAATTGAGACGAGAAACAATTTTATTTGTTACGACATCTCGTTTTGTTTATCTGTTCTCGATATTCAGCGGCAATTAAGTAAAGTAAATATTCAAGGTTATTTTATTTTAAGGAATATTAAAATTTAATTATCTGGTATATAATTTTAGAGATATTTCACTTGAAGCAATTACTAGAGTAATTATTTTATATAGGTTTCACTTGAGTATCGTATGAAACAAAGTTGTTTCTTCTTACGGAATCAAATAATTTCTTGATTGAAGCGCATCGTTTGCAGATGAATGTGTCCTTGATACACGTTCCGCTGCAAATATATAATTAATATAAATAATAATGTTCCGACGCAGCGGACAAGAAGAAATCTCGGTTTTATTTGCGCGGGTTTATCACGAAGGCAATTAGAGAGAACGAGGCGTAATGATTAATACCAAAATAGTATTTTTGATAATGAGCTTCTGTCTCATCAGGAGTAGCATTATCGAAAATGACATAGTACTTATCAAACGTTGTTATACTTATCGCGTATAATTAACTAAAAAAAAAAAGATAGCGAAGTTCTTCCTTTGCGCACTAATTTACTCGGATAATGAGTGAAACACTTATCGGTTTGTTACGTATTACAATCTCGTTTGAATGTCAGTTTAGCGGCAATTTTTTGCGAAATTACGGTTTTAAAATCGTCGTGTCCACGATTATTAATTTAAAATGTAATAAATTACGACAAACATGAAATATCCTTAAGCATCTGGAGTATTTTAACGATAATGTACGGCTATTATCTTGCTTATCTTGCTATCGAAGGAATAAATTTTACATTTAAATGTTTTCTTCAAACAGCCTCTGATGGCTCGCTCTCGCGAGCTGCCGAGAGGGAGGGGAGTCTTCTTTTTTATCTCCGTCCATCAGCGAATCGATATTTATTTATTTATTTTTTTGCTAATCATGTTTCTTTTAATACGCGACGTGTCGCGGATTTATCATCTCTGGTAACTTAGTATTATCCTAATAAGATGTTGCTCGGTTTTATTATTCTAATAAGATGCTTTTCGTGCGCCGAAGCATCTATCTAACTGACATCAGGTATATACAGATCTGCCGCGACCTAGAATTGTATTTTCATAAGTTTACGCTCGTGTTGCGGGGAACATTGTTACTTTTACCGCGCGGCGTAGCGCGCCCCGGCAGTTTTCTTGAGATCTTTTCTCTCTTTATACCCACGCATCACTTTCCAGGGATATTACTCTGAGAACTAGGTCCCATCGAGAGGCATTTTATTGCGCTTGTTGCAAAAGCCTCCGTTAATTATCGAGCGTGTTTTTCACTCGCAGCTTCATTTAAACGTCTCTTTTTTTCACTTTCATTAGTTCGAAATGATGGAAATTAATATCATTATTAGCATTTATCATATCGGATTACGCAATAATAAAAGATAGATTTACGAGAAACGATGATGATATAAGCGAAGTGCATACGTTTAAATGATTTACGGAATAAGAAATAAAAGAGCAAGATTAAAATAAACTAAGAAATGGTGTTAGTCTCGTTTTATGAATACTATACTTATTTCAGTTATATCAGTTCTTGAAGAATACGATAGCTTGTAAAGTTCCCAAATCCCAAAATATCCCGCGAATGTTCACTTCGCGATGTTCGTTTAAGTTATTTTGAGGATATTTGCACTTGACGAGTGAGAGTCTTTCTTTCCTCAAAACGAGTTAATGCCGGAACTTACATCACCGATGAAAGCTGGCCGATAGCGACCTGTGTACGTACATACATACGTCGAGTAATGCGAAGACGCGATCGTGCAAACAACAAAAAATGCCATTAGGCCAGCTCTACATCGGCGGGGGGAGAGTGTGTTAGTGTTGTTAGCGTATTAATTCAGAAATATTTTCCCTAGCTCGTAAATCTCTTCAAAAAAGTTACTTATCTAATTATTATATTTAGTCATTTATTATTCTTAAAATTCATGATGGGAGAAAGCGCGTTCTGGGCTGTTAAAAACAGATAAAAATAAAAACGTGCAAATAGGAAATCGCTTTCGCTGATCAGATGCAGTCTAGTTACTCGTAATTCAGAAGCAAGCAATTACATATTGATATCCTTCCCAAGAAATAACAGGTAATAATAATGTTAAAATGACGTTAAAATGAATCGTGACTGATCGAGGAGTGACGTTTAACGATCATTTTGGTGCCATTTTGACGTCATTTTGATGTCACGATGACTTTTTGTTCTGCTTGGGTTACTTCCGCTAGCAAGATGCGCCTCGCGAGTTTTTGCGAACGGTAAACCGTAAACTTCTAATTTAACGTTTTAAAAAGAGATTTGAGATTCGTATGTTGAAGGAAAGTCACACTTGACGTAGCAATACCGGCGTAGTAGATATCTACATTCGATACTGCTACTGCAATACAATCCCAATTGACATTCCCGCGGTGGCCGAGCGAGCTATCTCGGATAAGAATTAGCCTTGTTACTGAAACCTACCGTATACGGGACGCGCGAATTTAGCGTCCTTGCGGGCACGGATATCACGTCGAATTTCAGGCTGGCGTTTTATTTCTTTGCGGCGAGCGTTGCGACAAATCACTGGTGTTGTCGTGAGTTTGTAATTTTTAGCATCAGTTTAATTTTTGTCCTCGCGACTTAAATTAAACTCAAGACGGAGTAGGATAAGTTAAAACTAAGCTGAATTAAAATGAGCTAACAAAACAGATTTTTATACTTAATGTTATACATTAATCTTCGGGAGGGAAGACATTTCTTTCGATATACTTCTGCACTTTATAATATTTTACCGCGACAAAACATCGATTCTACGTGACAAACATCGATGACGTGATTCGCACATTTCTATAATTTCCATATAACAGTGAAGCACGAAAATCGCATTACAATAATCGATCTAATTACTCGTGCTTTCGCGTGTTACGCCATATCGGCGATACGCGCGATGTAAAACATATATGTACTTACAAAAGAAGGCTTTTAAAATGCGTAGCGTCGCAAATAGTCGCGCGATTACAGAGCGCGTTTGTCTATCCTTTAATGCTTATTACACGCGGCACATGGAATTACGTCCCGATCGGGACGTCGCGACGTAATTAGAGGGCAATTAATTATCCCACCTCAGCGTTTGTCCGCGATGCGATCTTTTAAAATAGCGCCGCCGTGACAGAGTAGCGATGTGCCGCGCGGCGACACACGCACGACTCGAAGAACGAGAGCTCGAAGGATGATGCTGGGCGTTGCGAAAGATCCGTCGTTGACTTACTTAGTTGCGTCGTCTCGCCCCGCAAATTACAGCGCGGCCGATTATAACGTTCGTCAACGTTCGCGGCGGGGGGCGGGGAGGCGGGTGGCTTAGTATTAACCTCTTCAGATCTGATGGTATCCTGGACAGACGTATCTTTTTCTCATTTGCCGTGCGAACGTATAGTTTCCGAGATACCTGACACACAGTTCACGGACATGACTGTGTTCTGAGTTATTACCGTGACTATTCGATGCCACGTGCATAGAATCTTTGGATGTAATAAAACCTATTCTTTTTAAAAGACAATACATGAAATTGTGATAATATAACAATAACAAATGTATTACAATACAATGCGCACTTAAAAATGAAACATTGAAAATGGAAAAGACCTTGTTGAAACAGAGCTGCTGATTATGTATAACCTTCTAGTTTTACGCGCATTAAGTATTTTTTTATACGATCGTAAAAATAGTAGCATTTTAAAATTAATATTAGAGCATGGAGTGTACTTAATATGTAATCGTTTCCACAACAATCTTACTATTATTACTTAGTCATTATTATTGGTGGAATTGCGTTAAAAAAAAGCACATTAAAAGTAATATATTCATAAAACCGACCAGTCGTTTTATATGCAAGATTCTTTTAATTTATTCTCCTTTTTTGCACTTTTTTTTTTTTTAATAAGTAGCGATGATTCAAAGTGTTCACGGTGTTACGCAACGCGCGTCAGACAGCACGTAGAAAATGTCAGGTCGAAGGAAAATATGACGATTATGTCGGATTACTCTCGGTTTTTGCACATTACGCGAATAATATCAACCTGTCGTGCGCGAATTTATCAGTGCCGGGAAGCTATTGTTTGCACAATACTAAAATTAACGAATCCCCCGCTATTAAAGGGTCACTCGGCTCGCCCTTGATGCCGAACTTGAAATAAGAGCGTCACACAATTCTGCAATTAGGACTGAAGTGTTTCGAGCGATAAGAGTGCTCTTCATGTGTACTTCAAGCGGCTTGCTTGAAGCGGTTTGGTACTCGAATAAGTGCCATAATAGACCAAAATAGAAATATTGATTTTGCGAGTCAATAGAGTCCATTAATTGGTATATGCTAATTGCGAGGCTTCTTTAAAGCCTCACTTCACATGCAATATATTAGATAATATTGTTAATTTTCGTAAAAAATTAATTGACGGCTCATGTAGAATAATATTTGCTTGTCTTATTATCGAGTAGCTTAGTTCAGTGCCTAACTTATATCTATAATAGATTAATTTATAAACTTAATATCTATAACCGCCAATCGGGCAACTTGACGCTTTCGGCGCGGAACGCTGACGTTCCAGTTCTTTCTTTTCTGACGCTGGGCATCCGGATCATTTGGTACCGAGTGCCATTTCGCGAACTTCCATTCTATTAAATCTTTCCGGACGGTAGTCTTGTAGAACGCGGATTTAATACCTAATCATGCGTACGAGCCGTGCGTAAAATCGGCAAGACAACGGGCGCTCGGAGCGGAGAACCGGTGGAGTGTACTTCTAAGAATTTGCAATGTGGACTTTTCCGCGCGCGAGATCCGCTCGATGACACTCGAGCGACAAGTTTCCGCGGAACAACGTAATCTCCTGTTTATTTTTTGAACGCGCGCGCCTCCTCGAGGATCTGTCCAAGATAAACAGCCCGAAATTTCGTCGGGCGTACAACGGTTTCTTTATGTTTATTTTATTTCCGTTTCTTTTTTTTTTCTTTGCGTCTTCTCCTTGCATCTGAATATCTCATCGCTTCTTCGTTGCGTTTTGAATATCATCCATCGCCGCCAACCAGTTAAATTAAAAAATCTCGAGAGACGCGATAATGTATAACGACCGTCGAAAGGGGGGAAGCCACTTGCAAAAACTCGTAGTTTTCCTAGCGTTAACCTACATTTACGTCCTCGATCGCCTGCCGCTTACGATGTTCTCCGCTGGCGATTGTCGATCATGAACGCGGTAGCGGAAATTGAAACCGGGTTATTTTTGGCGGACCTCTTTCTCGATATCTGCGAGAGATTTGCGAGGTCCAGTTCCAGTTAGAGCCACTCTGCATCGTTCATCGACCGTCGCAGGATTTACCGTGAATGGCGAATTAATGATAAACTTTTCGCGTGTTTCGACGAGAAAAGAGAGAGAGAAGGAGATTTTAACGCGTGGGTAAAATAACGGTAGTATCCGAGGATAGCAGCAAAAGTTTGCGTGTTAAACATCGTATATGGATCCTATGGTAGCATGCAAATAATCTAAATGGTAATTTTCATGATGCGTAAGGAGGACTCTCGACACTTCTTCTAAAATATCTTTAGCAGAGTTTCTAAAAGATCTTTGTAATTTAGAACTTTTTAATATAAAAATTTGAAAAATTTTTGCTTTTAAGATTTATAAAACAAGGGAATCTGCGAAACGGTACGCGCGCTTATAATGTCATTAAAAAGGAAATCAACTTTAAAGTGAATTTCGTGCGTATAGTTAAAAAAAAAATATTCGCGACACATTTGTGTGTTAGACTCTGACGGGAGTGACAGGTGCACTGATTACCGCGAGCCTATAAAGCACGTAACGTTCAGGAGGACGCTGTGCTCCACCTACGCAGCCCTCGAATTGCTATTATTACTTGCCAAATTGGCCGCATCGGGGAGGTAGGTCGTCGAGTAACGGGGTAGCGCGGAAGGAAAAGGATTCGCACGGGGCTCCGCACGTGGGGGCCTCCACGCGAGCGCGATGGGGAGAGCAGGAGGTGGGAAACGAGAAGGAGAATTTATCGCAGGGTAAGGCGCGATGGAGAAAGCGAGAGGAGGCGATAGATCGTATGTGGTGGTGGAGGCGCAAGAGCAGGGCGCCTGCGACAACTGAGCGAAAGAGGAAGCGGGGACGCGGGCACCTCGTCTTCAAAAATGTTACCGCGATGCCCCGGAATTTGTAAGAAATAGAATATTCTGAAGTATTTAATAGCGATTTGCTCAGGAGAGATATAATAGATTCTTATCTATTTTTTTATAAGTTAAAATCAATATAAGTTACATGCTGATCAATCATTTAATTATATATTTTATTAATAATATTTATCACAAGTTGTCGCAAGCTGTAGTAATTTTGTGCTTGACAAACTGGTATATACATAGTCTTACGTTAATTTAGACCGGAAAATTATTGTTCTATTTAACCAGAAATTTCTATTGTTCCATTTGACTGCTTTTTTTGACGTCGTTTTAAACACACTCGCAAAACCAATATTTCTATAACGGGAAAGAGATAAGGGAAATTAAAAAAGAACGTATTCCATTCATAAAAGAATGCTATATTAGGGTCCGCGAGCGAGGTAAAACGTTCCTGCGCGGCAGGCGCAGGAGAAGCACCGTAAGGGGGGCCGAAGAATGGAGGAGCAACGGCGTCCAGCAGCAGTTGGAGCAGCAGTAGTAGTAGTAGGCACCGAAGGGGGCAAAGTGGAGCGTCAAGTGGGGGCAGAAATAAATCGTTCACCTGAGTGTCGCGCCGTGGATCGGCGGCGCGGTACCGCAGTGTCTCGGCCGATCTCACATCGATCGCACCACCGTTCGCCAAGATCGTCCACACTTGCGCGTTAAACGCACGGCACGCTACGCACGCACACACACGCGCGCACGCTCTCCGGTTCCGCTCGATTTCTCATCGATATTCTCTCCTCCTCCTCCTCCTCCTCTCTCTTCTTCCTCCTTCTCACTCCCTCCTCCGTCCGTTCTCTCCTCAATCTCTCTCTCTCTCTCATCGATCCGATCCTCTCGTCGATCTGTCTCTCCTCTCTTCTTCTCTCTCCTCTCGTTTTATATCTCCTCTCTTCTCGATTCTCTTCTTCTCCTATCTACATTCCTATACCGTCCCTCCTTCCTCCTGGGTCGCATGCCTCTTCCTCGCCGAGGTACATCATCATCACCGATCGTTCCCACGATCACTGTCGCGACCACCAGCGATCGAGGAGGCAGCAACAGTCGCCGCGTGTTCTCGCACTCGTACCCGTCGCGCGCTCAGATCGGACTCGAGGAGTCGGGGACAGGAATCGCGCGTACTTGGCTGATACCGCCGTGAGGGACCGTTGGACGTGGAGGACCCACTGGGACATGCCCTGACTCGCGGGGAACCGTTTCCTCGGGTGACGAGCACGAGCGAAAAGAGAGAAGTAAAAGCGCGCTATTTTTTTCATCCGGATCAGCATCAGCATCTCCGGTACATAATAACGGCCGACGATCCGACCGGCACACTTAGCGCACACCGCGGAGAGGAGGACCGACTTTCTCCAGTTGGCAGTCAAGCCGCGCGCGCGAGGCAAGCGCTTCGAGGTCGCCGCGAGAAAACGCCGCGTGCCGCGTGGACGAGGTGGACCGTACGCGCGACTCGTTGAATGAGGTCTCTGGAAGGAATCCACTTTGACAAGTCGGTTGTTGCTCGTGCATGACGCAGCGCGCCGCTCCAAAGGCGTATCCAGACGCTCGGTGGACCATCGGTGAGAGAAAGGGAGGGAGAGAAAGAAAGGGCGGCAGAGAAAGAAAAAACACGCGTTTACACTTCGCGCCTCTTGTGCTTGTGATATCAGGGTGAACGCACGGTGAAACGTCGCTCAGAATGAGGGTGCATCGCGGGATCTGCGCCAAACTGCAGGGCGGCTTCCTCAGACGATGGTGTACGTATCCCGACAAAATATTTAACCCGTTCGATCGCGACGCGAATCGATCGTCTTAGTGCGGAGGACGCTTGAAAATCTTCGCTTCGGCTTGAAATTACACGAAACTTTTGGCAACGTTTAATATAAACTTATATTCTATCTATAACGTATATCTGCATACGCTTAAATAATGATCGAAATAAAAATCTTTTCTGTAAAGAATTATTTATCATATAGAATTTATTTAATTCTCATACAAGAGTTTATTTAATTTTGGAACATTTTGGAATAAAGTCTCGAATAAAATTAATCACTGATAACGCTTGCGTTATCCGAATACAAATTTTAATGTAATACAAAAGGGAATTGGAAGTAATTAATTTTATTTTTACAGAAATCAATTTTTTTAGTTCAATTTTTAGAGCGTTTACCTTGGTTACCAATAAACAAAACATTACGTGAACACGATAAGCGACTGAATGTGAAAAAAAAAACGAGTGTCATGCGTGCATATGGGTGCTTTCGGGTGCATGCCTCGTGCGTTTATCGCCGAGGTGTTCAAAGATGTTCGCGACATTGTTTGCTCATCGAGTTTGCATATTTAACGATTAAATCATATAATGTGACCGATGATTGCCGATGCTGCGAATCGATCGATCGGACGTCGTGGTAATACGTGTTCAAACAACGATAAGAAAATCGATGTGAAAGAAATCCGCGGCAGATTTGTAGGTAATCTTTAAAATCACGTTTGAATTTCTTACAATAATCTTCATTGAATCTGTTTTTAAATATATTTAATAATTAATTATAAATAAATCTAACAAAAATTTTGTATGATCAGTTTGATCGAAAGTCAAAAGTTACAGAGGTGATATAAAAGGAAGGTTTCGTGTAATATTATTATGCTTTCTCTAATATTATCCATATTTTATAGAGAAAATAACAATTATTGATTCGTAACATAAAAAAATTTGCAACAATACTTTACCATGACATAATTAAACTTTAGATCTCATCATTTTGTGTCAGATTTAAGAAAATTATCAAATTCTATTTTTAATTTTATATATTCACGTAAGACGAACAAAGATTTGAGAAAACACACATGTATGAAAAATACTTATCAAAATATACGTCATTAATTATGGATCATCTAAGCGGGCTTAATTGACTATGACAGGCTAAAATATTTCTTTATCGCCATTAAATCCCGCCTCGATTCATGTCTTAATCTCTCATGATTTATTTCCGGCTGATTCGTGGTTGCTTTGATCATCCTTGTGATGTCACGGCTACTTTGAGACGATTAATTTATTTCCTATTTATTTAATTTTTGATATTTCTGTTAATTATTCTTATAAATTCTTATTTAATTTTTTTTTCGTTGACATATTTCTGGGTGCAGCTCGTCGCGTTCGAGAACGTGAATTGGGAATCCGGATCGGCCGAGAACGCCGATTAATTCGTTCGCCGTTAACAACCGTGTCGAGAGAAAATTACGTAATCCTTCTCCACAATCTTCACTTCACCGGTCCCTAAAATTAATTATTTTACTCGATTTCGCAACTTGTATGTCGCCGTCTTGAATCACCGGCGTTCGAACTCGCGCGACGAAGTTCCAGCGTGGCTCGCCACGCTCGAGGGCATGAATCGAGATGTCTGGATCGGGCCGAGAGGCTGCGATTAACCCGATCATCGCGAGTAATGTCACGGCTGTAGCCGCTGCTCTTAATTCGATTCAATGGATGTGTCATCGTGCGCACGGTCGACCACACTGAATCATTGCGGTGTATTCAGGTCCGGCCGGTTGTGTCGCCTCGCGCCTCTTTCAGCGCCAGTGTGAAACCAACGACGACGACGACGATGACGACGACGACGATGACGACGACGACGACAACGACGACGACGACGACGACAAAACGTTGACATCTTAGGGACGTTGTCGCCTCGTTGAGGCAAACACGCACGCGGCAGATTCGTAGGCGTTCGCGCTCGGTCACTTTCACCTCCTCGGATACGCGATGTGGCCCGAAAGTTTCAAGTATCGCTCAGGTGTCGGATTCATTGCACCGTTGCGCGAAATGAAGCGTGGCCCGACGTATATAATTTCGGCGAGTTGATCGCCGCTGTAAAGCACGGGTTATTAATCCGCGGGCGTTTCCGGAAAATTAGGAAAGCTTTCGTCGAGAATAAGACCAAGCGTGAGCACGTTACGCCAGCTCTTCGAGCGCGCGCGTCAAGTAACTCCGCGAATTGGAGATAATGTATATATGTTTTTTTATCGGACAGAATTATTTTTTATTTTATTCGCTCGTTTCTCATTTTGTCCTTCTTAATTTTTTTTTTTAACAAAAATTTGGTTCCTTTTCTGTTTGCAAAATGATGAATAACTGTGGATATCGATGAATTGTCAAGCTGTTACGTTTCCACCGCGCGTTGTCAGTCGATAATAACGTACATATTTGCCGTTCAATAAAAGCGTAGCGCGCCTTCGTGTATCACACTATCATCAGCAAACTCATCGGAGGTAGTAGCTTCAATCGCTGATTGCGTGCCTACCGCGAGAAAGACGTCACGATTGAAGATTAATTCCGACGAAGAGAGTCACGTTACGCTTTTATTATTCTTGCAACCACATGATGATGTAACGGACTATTTCCATAATATTCTTCCTGGATCTCGTCTTTAATAGAACTCTATACCTAAGCGGAATTTTAATTTGAACAGTCTCGTGAACAAATGGCGGCCCGCGCGGCCCCGAATTTGCCGCGTGGAATCCCTAACTAAAGGATCATCGCTCCTTCCTAGCGACCTTATGACATCTTACGTAAGCATCGAGGACGTGATAATCTTCAAAATGCACGCAAAGCGCATACGATCGGAACCGACGATTTCGCTTATATAAGAGTAAAAAAACGTAAGAAGGTAATAGGAAAGGAAGAAAATTATAAAAGTGAAAGAAGAGAAGGATAGAAAAGCGGGAAGAGTTTCAAGTCTTTTATGTGATTAGAGAGAGAGACTGTGATTAGGGAGAATAACTTACGCGCACACACACATCATCTCTATTTAACATTTTTTTTCCCTCCTTTAAAACATCTTTACGCTTCCTTAACCTTTTTGCCTGATTATACTTTGCGCCAAGTATAAATCAGTATCTATCAGAATCGATCGCTTTGCACCGGTTATCCTCGTCAAAGCGATACATTAACTTGAAAGGTCGGTCGGTCGGTCGGATTTGCCGGAGTTAGGATCAACAACTGCCGCGAACAACGGTGTTTTTTTTCTTGTGCCGTGTGTGTCAGTCAAACAGGCTTGTTTCGCTCATTCGTTATTATTCGTTACCGCATGCAGTCGAACCGGCTCGAGGGGTCGGCCGGTCGGCCGCGCATCGATCCGCGCCAAAGTCCTTCCGATCGACAATGATAATGGAAATAACGCTGGCGCAGAAAAAAAGTAGCGTATATATTTCCGCGCGCAGGAATAATTAATAACGATTCGAGGCTACTCTTATCGTAAATAAACCGACGTCTTTCTCAAGATGGACGCGTTATTTGTTCGCCTCGAGAGAATGAACTTTGCTACCATTAACGTCCACATGTCGACCTCGGACTGTCCGTCCGCGGGCGAGTTCCGCGATCGTTAGCGAAGTGCATTGTGTGTTACCTGCCTTCCCCCCGGCGAATGCCCGTATACGCGTGCATATGTACAAAGGCATTCGATATACGTTTTCACATGGGAATGCCAATCGATATCTTTCAGCTACGTAGTTAGAAATGATAGAATCCTTTGGCTCTCGAGCCTGTTCGGCTCGAGCCAACAGAAAATTATATTTTATATAACGTATAATTTACCCCGCAAATTACAAAATTACTTGTTATTAAATAACAAGTTGAAATTAACGAGAGATACACAGAAAGTATCGAGTGTAGAAATAGATGCAATTTATAAAATTGATTTCAAATATCGCATTGTTGCCTAAAGCGAATTTTATATAAATAATGAATAAATTTTTTTTCTCTTGACAATTCTTCGCTGCCAATTCTAAAACGTGTTTCTGAAATGCTTCCTTTATTAAAACGTATTATCTCCTTGTGTTTGCGGAGATAGGACTAAATGAAATGTCATAATCGACGCGAGAAAAGTAGTCGGCGACGGGGAAAAAAGAGAGGTGGTGTGTTATTACCGATCAACGCTATTTTTCCTGCCGTACAAGTGACACGCTCGGCGCGATAGATATCTGAGACAAGCCCGTATGTTTTACATATTATGTGGTGATTGGCGTAAGAACAGGAAGCACTCTTATGTAAGAAGAAGTAATCGCCGCACGCAGATACCCAACGTGCACGCACACTTTTTTTCACTTATATACCGCTGCACGTTGTACTTCTGTTTTGACAAGGGTTTGCTCTATTGAATCCTATTATCGATCCGCGAACACATTACGTTTGAAAAGAAGTTGTAAACAGAGGAAAAGACAGTTCCGTATTTCCAGAAAATCATTCTCTCTCGGGAAGGCACACGATGAAATTGAGGGATATATGTACGTGCCAAATATATTTAATAAATAAAATATATTCTTTTCTCCCTAAATGAAAGAAATATATATACCTATTTTAGTAATATATAAAATATATTTAAAAATATTGAAATACGTATATAACATTTCTCTAGAATTTTAGTTTCTTTTACCATTTATAATATATTATAATTACAGTGTTTTCATATCGCGGATATTTTATTATATTTCCTCTCTTTTATTTATTATACTTATTTACTTATTTATTAATTTTCTTTAATTCGTGCTATTTTTCGGTGCCTGTCCTTAAAACTCTTTTCTCGTGAATTGACAAATTGAACGATGATAATTCTTGCATGATATGATAATTTTTTCTCAAGAAGTGTTACTCGTCCCCGATTTTTCGTTTCCCGGAGCGAAAGCGACTAATTTGCCGATATTTTGCCACAAACAGTGCAAATTTTCGACTTTACGACTATAGATTAACGGTAATAAGGAA